CTCGCGCTCTCGCTCTCTCGCTCTCGCTCTCTCTCTCCCCTTCTCTCTCCCTCCGCCTCCCCCCGCCCCCCTCACATCTTATTTTCCCCAGTGTGCTTGCTTTCTTCTTGCACTCCTTCATTGCCCACTCAGTGTCCTTCCTTATCCCCCAAGCCTTCCTCAAAAATCGTTTCCAGCAAAATTCTACCCATTTTTAACGTCCATGTGAATGTGCTTTCCATCAGGAGGCCTTGCTTAATTCATAATACTCCCCCACTTAACCTGATGTGGTTTCTCCCCACCTGAAACCCATAGCCATTTGTTTAGTCCAGTGGTTCCCAGTCTTTGGTGTGAATCAGAATCACCTGGAAGGCTAGTAAAGCACACAGAGGCCAAGGGTTAATGTGGAAGTGAAACCAGAGGGCAACCGATAGACTGACACAGGAGTTGGGTAGTAGAATAAGCGCTTATTATCAGAGCACTGGTGGTCTGAGAAGGCAGCAGGTTAACACCTTCAAAAACTGCCTAACATTCTCACACTGGCCTGGGGTATTTAAGGGAAAATCTGGGTATTCCTCTAAAGACTGCTTGACAGTTCTGGGCTCTGCAAGAACCCTTCCCTCTGGCCATGTGATTCTCCAGTGGCATCAGCAACCCAAGAACAATAACGGGAGTAGCGTGGAAGGAATGCTAGACCATACACATTGTGATCAATGAGCCTAAGGATATGAATCATAAGTTTCAGGGTAATTTTCTAAAACAGGGAACTGGGTGGAACAAAAGACATTCCGAGCTTAAGCCGCAAGGGGATGGTCTATGATTAAGCTATAGGTCAAGGAAAGGTGTGGCCGGGGCCTTGGAGAGGCCTCTGCTTCAGGGGTCCCAACCGGGCCCTGCTTCAAAAGGACAGTCCTGGGCCTTCAGAGTCTTCCCAAGTTCCCAGGTGAGTCTAATCCCCACCAAGGTTTGAGCCCCTGGTGTGGACTTTTCTAACTTTCTGCCTTTTCTTCATGTAGTTGGTGGTAACGCTATTAAGTTGTTAGCTTCTTACTCATCTTTAAATGCAGATCACCATCCACTGTACCCAGCACAGTGACTTTCAAGAGCAGAATCTCAGTGATTATGTGTGGTAGGGAACTGACAAAAGCAACAGCTGAGAGGACAGGTAGCCAAAGGTTTGAGTGGTACTCGCCGAAGTGGAGCCAGCGTGTGCAACGTTTAGTAAACACTGATGACAATTTGGGAAAGCCATAGGGAGCCAGTGTGAGTCACTTACCCAAGGTCCACAGTGCACATGGTTGTCACCAGATGCCATTATCCACTTAGTCCTGAAGGCACAGGTGATCTATGAGGGGAAGACCAGCGATGATGTAGTCATGACAAGGATACAAGTAGCTTGCTGAGAAGGCCAGGGAGGGAATCACAGTGGTTTGTTTACATGTTTAGACTCTGAATCTAAAGTTCGTAGGGTACATTCAGGCCAGAGACAGGGCGGAGGGGCATGTCAGAGATGTCCAGACCAGGACCATGAGAGCTCTGTTCTCGGACAATAGTATGGGTCAGGCTAGGCCTCCTGGGGTAGGCTTTAAACTGTGGCCTGAAAGTAGCCAGTGGCTATAGCTCACAATGAAAACACAACTCAGTGCCCCAGTAGGGTCTGCAGAGATCCTTGTGGGGCCCGCAGGTGGCTGAGGTCCCCACCACCTCCATCCTGGCAAAGAGGGAGGGCTGTGACGAGGTTGCTGCCCCGCGCAGCTCTGGCCCCTGACTTCCTAGTGCTCACTTACTTCATTCCCACCATGTCTGGCATGCAGTGCTTCATTCATTTACTCATATGCATTTACTGAGCACTCACTGTGTGCCAAGCACTTTGCTGAGTACATAGCTGATGTATCCCCAACAACACACAGCCCCCCACTCCCCACCCCCACATTCTCACTCTGTCCACAGCTTCCCCTCCATCTGTTTTTCCCTTGGAAAATCCTGCTTTGGAGTGTTCAGTTTAGTAATAGGAGAAACAAAAGAGAACACCTCTGTGCAGTTCTTTGTCTTGAAATAATTTATGCTCTAATGATCCTATTTACTTATTTCTAGGACGCAGTTGATTTCCTCTCTCTTGATTTGTATTACGAATGCCAAAAGGAGGCAAGTTTGCTGCAGGAGCTGAGTAAATTGCAGGTAAGGTGAGCCATTTCCCATTGATGGTGGAGTGGCAAAGGTTCCTGAGAGCACATTCGACATTTAATACTTTGGCTGACACATAAGTTGAACTGCCACCAACAGTCAGCCGACCTGCAGAATTGCATCTGGGGGAATTTCCATTGAAAGCATCACTAGAGAACATCGGGAGGTTAGGCAGTCTTCCCTGGGAAGGATAATGAGGGGTGGCTTGTTAAGGTAAATATTTACAAGGACCTTCTGCTTTATTGTATAGAAATCAGAAAATAAAGAATCAAAATTCCAGTGTTCATTTGGAGGACAGTAAAATAGACATTTCATGGAAGGTGGTCATGGTTGCACAACCATATGAATGTATTTAATGCCACTGAACTGTATACTTAAAAACAGTTAAGATAGTAAATTTTATATTATGTGTCTTTTACCACAATTTAAAAAAAAAGAAAAAGAGAGCCGGCCGAGTGGCTCAGTTGGTTAAGAGCTCGCTCAAGAGTTTGAGCTCTGAGCAACAGCGGTTTGATTCCCGGCCTGAGTTGAATAGCCGTTGAGCTGCCAACAGGTGGCAGGATGGCTCAGCTTAAAAAAAAAAAAAAGAAAAAGACATTTCACACCCAGGTCTACTAAATCAGATACAAGCTATTGGGACCTTCCTGTAACCTCAGGCCCCTTCTTCCTGTACCCAGTATTGTTTTTCTCAAGTCTAATGATTCTGACTTATTAGAGAAAGTATGTTAGGCACCTCCCACCCGACAATTAGCTTTGTCTCTGATGCTTGGTCACTGCTGTGCAAATCCCTTGCCTAATTTCCTGGAGCCCTGACCATTCCCCCATCTCCTGACAGGGAATAACTGATTATAGAACAACAGGGTAGTGGTTTCTCTGCAGACCTCCTGAGTCCTAGCAGTATTCCTATACTTAGCCCTCAAGAGCTGCCTTGTCACAGGCTTCTCTACTGATGCCACCAGAAAACACCCAGGCCTTACTTTCCTACTGCAGGTTCGGTCACAAAGCTACTCCCCTCTGTTTTCAGCCCTGTACCTCCTGGTTTCGATCCCACCACCTCCACCACCAAGGAGGATGGGTTGTCAGAGGAGTTATCCGTTTAAAGGCCAAGCTTATTAATGTCAAATCCTCAGCTAGGTGGAACCTCTATTTTACCTGAGGCAGGAGGCTCAAAATGGACAGATTAGCATCCGTTCCATCCCCATGTCTGTGTATTTCCAGCTGACCTGTATAGATGCTGCTGCTTTTGTTACCTACAAGTAATAAGATGATCTCATCAAAAACAGCAAATGCTTTCACAAGACCTTTGAGGAACAGCTGCAGGGATTTTAGTGCCTGCTGTACCCCAGGCGTTGTGCGGGGCACTTTATCCTCACATTGTCTCTACCCCTCCCAGGACACCCAGGACTTAACAAACTTAACCACCGTCAGACACTAGGTAGTGAGCGTTCGAGCTGAGGTTGGAACCAGGGTTTTCTCCTGACCCTACACTGCCTCTGAAAAACAAAAATAAGTCCAAGGTGCTGGTAACAGCATCATGAGGGTGACATTTTTGACAGTCACATGAGTTTAGTAGTTTTTGTAAACATCTTCTCACCTGCACCCAAACTGGCTTGTGTGATCCAGAGCCTGCACAGGTGGGCTTGTCGCCAGATTTCTGGACCTTAAACAGCACTGTGGTGTCTTCAAGGCCTGCTGATGCCTGTGACAAACTAAATCTGTCTTTTGCCTTCCTCAAGGAATTCAGCCAGAGCTTGCTGCTTAGATAATGGGTTGAAACCCGCTGACATTTTAAAACCATCTGGGTTATTCAGGCAGACCCTGCTTGCCTCAGAGGGGCGCTCAGCAGAGCACTGGCTCGATTTCTGCTTGAGGATGTGGTTTATGCTTTCCCTTTTTACATCAAAACATTCTCAAGAAGACCTGCTCCCCCAGTGTCTGGGTAAAGCTGTGAACCCTCAGTCCATATCCGGCCAGCCAAATAGTAAAGCCTTCTCTTGACAAACTTAGCAGCCATTTATTACACCCTGCAGCAAAGTTTCTTTATTCCTCCTCTTTCCTTAGGTGGGAATTATCTTCCAGATGTTGCACTGAACAGGCAGCCCCAAAGATTCAGGATGGCCGCTCTGGTCACCCAGTGGTGAGGAGAGACCTGAGCTGGAGAGGACACTGTCCCGCTCTGGGATCGTCAGTTGCATGCCTGGTAGTGTTTCCCACACAGTTACCACACCCAGGACCGAAAGAATAGCCAAGTTCTCTAGAGGGGCTGACTTGGGTCCATAGGAACCTGAATCACACTGCCCACAGCTTTCTTCCCAACAACCCTCCCTCCTCATCCCAGGTCCCCACATTCTCCTTGAAGAGCTCACAGGCAGACCTGGGGGCTGCATGGGAAGAGGGTGACATCAGGGCAGGGAGAAGCAGGAGCCCTCGCCCAGCCCATTATCAGCCGCTTCCTGTCTCCCCAGAGCGCCTGCCTGCCTCTGTGAGCCCCCCCACCCCCACCCCGGACCCTCGGCTGTCCCTCCCACAGCACACAGGTGTCTTAGGGCTGGAGGACATCCTCAGGCCCAGCAAGCAGATAAAGAGCCATGGCACATTCACAGGTGCTGCAGGAGGTACACGAAGGAGTTCCACATCCACGGATCAGAAAAGGCTCTGCTCGCCCCTGGAATTCCCCACTGGGCCGAAGGCTCCTCCTGCCCTCAGTCCTGTGAGCACAGCCGCCCCACGTGCGCATGTATTGATCTTTCAGGAAGGAGAAAGCGCTGGGCTGCCTTAGGAAGTTAGCTCTCCTGCATGGACCCAGCCCAGTGAGAGAACAAGGCTAAGTGAGTCGCAGCTCCACTAACAGTGGTCCACATCAGCTTAACCTGCTCCTCAGAGCTTAAGGCATCTCATCTGTAAAGAAGGGGCACTGAGGAAATAAAGAATGTGCCTGGCTCTTTTTTAAGCAGTTGTTAGTGTCTCTCAGTGGCCTTTACTGAGAGGAGGAACAAATGTGGGAAAAATGACCAAACCCAACTTCTTCCAAAAAGGTAAAAGTGAAGTCAAACAACATGTCAGCCTAGAGATGTGTCCTTTGACACTTGAAAGGGCTAGACATGGGAGAAAATATTATACCTGCTCCAATTTTAAATGAGGACAGCTCCTTTTTATTATGGAAAATATCAACCATATCTAAAAATAGAAAGAAAAGTACAATGACACCATCCCCAGCTTCAAAAGCTATCGACTCGTAGCTGATCTTGTTTCAACACAACCATACTTTCCCCCTCCCAAGCCAGACTGTTCTGAAGCAAACCCCAGCTATCCATAAATATTGCGATGGTGGCACCTGATTAAGCTTCCTGTAGTAACACAGACCCCTGGCATGAGCAGACTGCCTTGTTCCTGGTCCTGCTTCTAGGAGGTACCTGGTAGGCCTGAGACGAGGGCACAGATGAACCTGTGTCTTTGGTGAGGGTCAGTAGGGAAGGTGGCCTGTGCTACTGAAAAGCGTAGATCTTTCTCCCTCAGAGTACAGAGTCAGCTTCCTTCAGTGACTGAGGTGGCTAGAGGTAATTTCCAAAACTAGACTGAGTGTTCATAGCTTCTCATCCTGAAAAGCTGTCCCTGTTAGCAAAAGACTTACTCTAGGCAGCTTTGGTTCACTTCTGGCCTTTTTCTTTTTCAGACTATTGAGCCAAAAGTGAAAGTTTTCATCTTCAGTCTAAAACTCCAGGACTGTCCCTTCACCAGGAAGAACCCAGCTGGGCTGCTCTTCAGCCTTTTGGAAGGTGAGTGGACATCACTGGAGAGGTTTTGAGTGACAGTTGGTGTACTGGCTTGGGAGGGTAGCAATCTTGGAAACCTAGGGTTCCAGCAGGTGGAGGGACCTGAGGAGGGCTGGCCTGAGGGCCCATCCCAGATGGGTTTAATGTCCCTTGCCTTCCTTTTGTTGGTCCCTTATCACCCGTTGACCTGAGAACAATCAGAGTTTCTGGGCAAAGATGCCAAGGATGCTTTGGTCTTATGGAAATAAAGACTCTCAGGCCTCAGCTGTCAGGTGTAAATATGGGAACTGCTCTGTGCCTGTGAGTCCCCTTCTATTACCCCTCCCTCCACTGTTGCTCATCTTTGCCCCCCCTGCCTTTCTCCCCCCACCACCACCTTGGCTTACCTTTGTTCATTTCCCCATTACTTCAACTTGCACTTGGCCCTGTTGGGCACCTGACCAAAACATTCATGTCTAGGACCCACAGCTCATGGACCATCTCCTCAATATCTCTTCAGATCCTTGAGAGTGAATCTGATCGGTGGGCCATGGATCGGGAGATTGTTTCTGGTTTAATCAGATCAAGGGAAAGGTGGGGTCTGTTAAGGCATCAGGGGCTCAGGGCCACTTGACACTCTGCAGGAAGTGGCCAAGGGGTACGTACCTGGTGCCCTGATATTCAGTCCACTTACCTTGTAAGGTCAGAGTATGAGAGACGTCAGTAGTGCCCTTCCCACCACCTGTAACCAGTGCTGAGCTGACTTCACAAACCTCATGAAACTCATCCATAGATTCCACTTAATAACCCTTGCCCTAACTCACCTTTCATGGCATAACAATTTCTGTTCTTAAATTCCATCCCTTTCTAAATGGTTAAATTGGTTGATTTTATGTTTAATGTACAGTTTACTACAATTTAAAAACATTCCACCCCTTTCTGATGTTTGAGTTCTTCTAAATCACTTGTTCTCCATGTGTGGTCTCCAGACCAGCAGCCTCAGCATCACCTGGGAGCTCATTAGACATCCCCATTCTCAAGCCCACCTCAGACCAGAAACTTTGGAGTGGGCCCAGCAGTTTGTGTTTCACAAACTCTGCAGGTGACACTGATGCATGTGGAAGTGTGAGAGCCACTGTTCCAAGTCATAAGTAGGTAGAAACCACTTCTGACCTCCTGAAATCCCTATCCCATGGAATTTTCTAGAGGGACTTGGAACCATTGCTTGGAATTTGGATATGTTGTATAAATGAGGAAAACTGTTGACTGTGGTCATGCATATTGTTGGTTGGGCTTCAGGTAGAGTAATTAAACTTCTTCTCTTACAGCCATAAATAAAAACCAAGTGCTCACCATTGGGCTTGATATTAATATATTCCTGAGCTGTTCATCAAGTTCCAAGGAAAGGTAATGTTACATTTCCTGTCAAACTGTCAATAGCTGATATTTGCCAAATATTCTGCTGTTCTTTCACATATGTAATCTCATAGAACTCTTGTCATCTGCCTCTCGAGCCAGTGAGTTCATTGTGGACATTCTAGAGAGGAGAGATGAAGGCTCACAGGGGAAAGCTGGGAAAACTCATCTCTCACTGTGTCTTTCTCTGGACCTTACACGGTTCTGGAATTCTCACCTGTCATTCGGCCACCTTGAAGTTCACATAAGTGCACACAACTAGCAGAACTGGGATTTGAACCCAGCCTTCTACTTTAAGATTTTGTGAGTTTGTAGCAGAGCGGGCTGGGTTAAAGATAGATCTGACCATCCCACTGAAGCTTCATGATCTGAGTAAATGAGGTGAGTTCTTTGCATCCGTTCCCTCATGCCGAATGTGACATCTTCTCTGTGAGGGGACAGCGTAGATAGGACAGCCAGCTGTTAAAGTGGGACAGGAGCCTAACTCAGTGGTATTCTCAGAACAGAAATTCTAGTTTATGGTGGGGTTGCAAATACTTTCTTAACTAATGACTAAAGTACCAACATTTGTAACTGACATACTTAAAAAAAAATTAGAACTGATTTGAGGCTATCGCACAGTTTATATCACTCTCATGCACTCACATCCTAGTGTGATCCTTGAGTGAGAAAATGATGGTGTGGAAACCAGCACTGGGAGTCCCCAGAGCCCTCAGCACTCCATGGGTGTGTGTTACACAGGAGCTGCACGCACCACACATTAAGGAAGGATGGAGGCCAGAGGCAGTCATGGCTGCCCAGATCTTCAGCTACAGCTCTCCCGGTTGTTCGCCTCAGACATTTCTGTCCAAGGTCATGACTTTAAGTCGCCACCAGCTCTTTGTACTGTTCCTCTCCCAGCTCTGGCTGTCCTGAGCCATATCTCCTTCTGTACAGTCCACTCAACTTACTTCAAACCAGCTGTTCAAATCCACAGACCCTGGGCAGCTGCTACCGGTCAGGCTTTGTGCTGGGAGTGTGAACAGTGTGGTGAGCAGATAGGTCAGAACTGCTCCCTGACCACACGTGGAGTCTGCTGAGGAGTCCTGGGCTATGTCTTCTCAGAAAGTAAAGCTCAAGAGGTCGTAAGAAAAGGAATACCTTGAGAGCTTGGTGATTACAAAACCGTAAGATGACATGAGACACCAGCTCCAAGGTTCTTTTAACACCTTGATCTCTTGGTACTTTGCCTGACGTGAAGATCCAATATTGGCTAATGTTAAACTGACAGTGGCGCGGGAGGGGGAATCCTCATTCAAGTGGGTGTTGATGGAGAACCTGCCGGGTGCAGGACAGGAGGAGGGGGATTCTGAGAGGACTGACAGCGTTTTCTCAGTTAAGAATTTTAGACTTCAGAGGTGAGAGAGAGAGGCCCACAAATGACTCTAACACCAGGTTGTGGAAGGAGACACAGTGCTGCTCCCCAGAGGAGGGAAAAAGAGCATTATGTGGGATGCCCTGAGGTGGCTTAGAGTGTGTGTGTGGTGGTGGTGGTGGTGGTTGGGGTGGGGTGGGGGTTGGCTGGAGGAGGGGCAGCTGGAGGGGCCCAGCATAGAGACTGAAGCTCTGTGTATGAAATCTCTTCCCAAATTAGGCAAACCCAAGATTCCCAGCTCCAAGGCCTATATGGAAAGTTCTGTTTTATCCAGGGGCAGTTTGTTTATTTTTTCAAGACCTCATTTCATTCCAGCCTAGACCATCAGGGTCAGAGCAGCTGACACTGTGCACTGAGTGGACGTCACCTGTGTCCCCATTGTCCTCCAGAGTTGTGCATATGTTTCGGGTAATTCACAGCTATCGGTCATCAATCCCCCTTACCACATTTCTAGCAAATGTGGATGAGCTGATGCTTCATGAAACAGGAAGTACTCAGGTGTGGAAGGTCAAGGCTTTCCTTCATGGGAGGGAGGCCCCTCTGCAGCACCCTGTCACTCCTCCCAGTTCTTCACTCTGGGCCAGCCCTCTTCACATGACGGTCCTTGGATGGGCCATGCTTTTGTACTCTACCCCCTTTTACTCAAGTGCATTCTCTTCTCCAGACCAAACACAGCCCTGCACCCACCCTTTCTCAAGGTTGCCCTCTGCTTGTGTAGCCACTACAAGGTATGGTGTGCTGCTTTCCAGCCTGCGGGACAGGACTCGTACATTGGGAAATCGACTTAGAGGTTTGATTTGAAATGTTAAAAAAACAAATATTTTTTTTAAATGAATGTATTTATTTCTGAAATAAAACATAATATATATGGACATAAATGTCTAAACATCTATGCATAGTGATATGTGGTTAAAAGCATAGACTCTGCTCTACCGTTGATAAGCTATACGATCAAGGAGAAGCTCTCATTTTTTAATAAAAGAAGATATGATTTCATTTATATTAATAAAATCTGGAGGTGGACAGTCTAGGCTGGGTATAATCAACAGGAATCCAGGCTCCTATTGTGTTACTTTGTCATCCTTAACAAGGCTCCTACCTCACAGCCCAGGATGGATATGTGAGCTCCTGACATCATGTTCGTAATCCAGGCAGCATGAAGAAGAAAGGAGGTTGTAGCTGGGACTGATATTTAACTGGTAACATCAACAGAGCTGTGCCAGTAATTCAATTATGAAATACTTCTGTACCAGCTGGTACATAGCCGCTGGTCCCCTGATGCCAGAAGTTACTCGTTTCTTGAAATGTTAGTTTCCTGTGGGATGAAGATAAATAATTATAGTACCTATCTCATAAATTTATTGCAGAAATTAAATGAGATAACATATATACATTCTTATCACAGTGGCTGGCACAGAATCAAGGTTCAATAAATTGAAGTCAACATTATTATTAGCTATGTTTGATAAACATTGCATTATAAGAAGAAAAAAGTGTGGTATCAAAACTGAAGACAGTATTCACGGGGGTGATCTAATACACAGAACAGTAGCATTGGTACAGTGTTTCTACTCATGCATGAGCAATAATAACTCACCTAAGAAGGGGTAATAATAATAATTTTCCTATCTACCAGTCTCTTCCTGCCATGGCTTTATGAATTTGGCTTTCCACTTAGTGCTTCTGGAATCTTCACCGATTGAACACATTGTCACTGTTCATCAATCTAGAGGCATCTGTGACTCACAGAGTCCTTACTTATTATGTCTTTTTATGTCACTTCCATCCCGTAGCAGGTCTTGTTCTCTGACTGATGCCCTGACCCTTCCAGCCACCCGGGAGCAGGACCTCAAGACCGCAGTAGGCTTCTCGCCCCCGAGCTCAGCCTTTTGGAGAGTCTGGGAAACATTTGCTAACCAGTCCAGGGCAGAAAGGGATGCTTTCCTGCAGGACGCTTTTCCCGAAGGCTTCCTCTGGGGCGTCTCCACAGGAGCCTTTAATGTGGAAGGAGGATGGGCTGAGGATGGAAGAGGAGCAAGTGTCTGGGACCGATTCATGGCCCAGAAGGCCAACAAGGGCCAAGCGACGCCAGAGGTGGCCAGTGACAGTTACCACAAGGTGGACTCTGACGTTGCCCTGCTTCGCGGCCTCCGGGCTCAGGTCTACAAGTTCTCCATCTCCTGGTCCCGCATCTTCCCTTCTGGGCATGGGCCCAGCCCCAGCCCCCAGGGTGTCGCCTACTACAACAAGCTGATTGACAGCCTGCTGGACTCGCACATCAAGCCCATGGCCACGCTGTTCCACTGGGACCTGCCTCAGGCCCTGCAGGATCACGGTGGGTGGCAGAATGAAAGCGTGGTGGATGCCTTCCTGGACTATGCAGCCTTCTGCTTCTCCACCTTTGGGGATCGTGTGAAGCTGTGGGTGACCTTCCATGAGCCGTGGGTGATGAGCTACGCGGGCTACGGCACCGGCCAGCATGCACCGGGCATCTCTGACCCAGGGGTGGCCTCTTTTAAGGTACATCCCATCTTTGCAGCTCCTACTCATTGAAAGAGAAGGGACATTTGGCTGGAAGGAAGTCATTTTATCTTCCCTTCAGCAAGTGTTTACTTTTTGTCTTTTAAAGGAAATCAGAGGGAGAGAAGGAACCATACATTGTTAATCACCTTATTTTGTCCAAACACTGTGGTGGCGTTTTAAAAATAGTTATTACACCCTCAGAACAGCACTGATGGATGAGGGAATTGGGGCTCAGGAGGAGAAACAATTTGGCCATGATGATGTTACTGGTGGGTTAGCAGTTTGAAGCCAGAATTTGAATCTATGTCTACTTGACTCCAAAGCAAGTTTTATGTGTCATCCAGGACTTCTCGTTGCAAGTGACAGAAAACCCAACCCAAATTTAATTAGGAAAGTAGGGGAATTTATGAGTTCAGGAAACTGAAAAGTCTTGTTTTTATCTGATCCAAGTGAAGCTTGATCAGACCAACAATGATGTTAAATGCTTCTTCTCTTGCTCCCCTCATTGGCTTTATTCCTGAGCTACCTGGTAGCCAGATGTAAGCAGCCCTGCTCTCATATTTCAAGACTGGCTGGAAAGAAAGCTTGCCTCTGTTCTGGCATTCCCAGCAAAAGTCTCCTGTGGGTCACATGTCCGTCCCTGAACCAATCACTGGCTCTAGGCTAGGGGACTTGGGGGCACTGACTGGTTTGGGTCCAGATCCCAGCTCTACTCCTCAACACACTGGTTGAGAGGTGAGGAGGTAGGAAGAGGAATAGGGGTTGGCTTTCCAGAGGGCAATCAGGGTATCATTTCAACAAGAAGCGGATGTGTATACAGGAGACAAATTTACAATGACTTAATATGGTTTTTTTCCATCATTTTCCTTTTTTTCTTCAAAATCTCCCAGAAAACCCACCAGCTTTCTCTGGCAGCATTCTTAAGGATGGGCATGTTAGTCTGGCTTCCCCCTGCCACACTTAAGCATTCTGTTCTGAAATGAGTATGTACTGTGCCCCATGCTGGGTGTTAAGGAGGATACATAACCCATGCCCTCGAGATGTTAAAACCTTTTGGGGAAGATGATACTAACACAAGTTAAGAAAATTGGAGAACAATTCAAAATGTCCCCAATTAGTGGCAGCTGGAATATTATGAATAAATGACTCAATGAAATGCCAAAAATTATATCACGTAAGTCAAAGTTTTCATTTTGCTCTCAGTAAGTGACTGCACCCAGGGAGAGAGATAGCACTTCTGAAAGTGGAAGGTTGCACCTTTCTGTTTGTCTCCTTGTTGTAAAAGTCATCCAGACCTTTTCTCTATAAGCTTTTTGTCCTTATAGCTGTGGCTCCTGAAATTTTTCTACCGAGACTTCAATGAGAAAGTCCACCTCATTTTTCTCCTTCAAATGGTACTTTTACTTATTAGTTAAAACATTATAATACCATCATGGACAAACTTCAAAGAAGAGATTTCTCTCATAATTCTTACCAGTGATTCCTTCCAGTCTTGGCTTCCTTCCATTTACAGTGTAATCACATGATTTAATGACATTACTGGTATCAGTGTTGATGTTATCCATGTTGACATTTTCAGTGTTACTGTTGTTATTGACTTGCTGATATTATTGACATTGGTGTTAACTTGTTAACGTTGCTGTTGACTTGCTATTGGCTTGTTGATGCTATTGTTGACATTGCTGTTGTAACTAAGCACTATATTTCTTTCTTTCTTCATCACAAGGTGGCTCACTTGGTCCTCAAGGCTCACGCTAAAGCTTGGCACCACTACAACAGCCACCATCGCTCACAGCAGCAGGGGTGTGTGGGCATTGTGCTGAACTCAGACTGGGCCGAACCCCTGTCCCCAGACAGCCTGGAGGACTTGAGAGCTTCTGAACGCTTCTTGCACTTCATGCTGGGTTGGTTTGCACATCCTATTTTTGTGAATGGAGACTACCCAGCTGCCCTGAAGGCCCAGATCCAACAGATAAACAAGCAGTGCCCCAGGCCTGTGGCCCAGCTCCCTGAGTTCACCGAGGCAGAGAAGCAGCTCCTGAAAGGCTCCGCTGATTTTCTGGGTCTGTCCCATTACACGTCCCACCTCGTCAGCAAGGCCCAACAAGATACCTGCATCCCCAGCTATGACACCATCGGAGGCTTCTCACAGCATGTGGACCCTGCATGGCCCCAGACCTCATCCCCTTGGATTCACGTGGTGCCCTGGGGTATAAGGAGGCTGTTGCGGTTTGTATCCTTGGAATACACAAGAGGAAAAGTTCCAATCTACCTGGCTGGGAATGGCATGCCCATAAGGGAAAGTGAAAATCAACTTGATGATTTCTTGAGAGTAGACTACTTCAATCAATATATCAATGAGGTGCTCAAGGGTAAGAATGGCAGATATGCTGGTGATTGGTACATAGGTGGTACTTCTTCAAGTCTTCAGAGTTCTATTTTATTGGACAAAGTCTTCCAAGGAAATGAGACCAAAAAGTGGTAATGGTAGTATTAATAATAGCGTGAGTCTTTCCCCTCAGCCTCCTAACTCCCCCCCTCAAAGGCCGCAAGTCTTTGCTCCCATATTCTTATTCCTTAGAATGTCTTCCTTCTACATTCTGCCCATCTGAGTCCTATCCATTCATCAAGCCTCATCATCTTTTAATGCATTTATTTAACAAGTATTTATTGACTACCTATAATGTTCCAGGCATTGTGTAAGACAATAGGGGTACAATATTGAACAAACATGTCTTCTCCCACAGGGGACTCATAGTCTACAGAGGGACATAGACAGAAAGTAGCAATATAGGATGACAATGACATTATAAGATGGCATGAGGACACATAAGATGTGACTCCAACCCATTAAATCTTCCTTCATTGCTCCAGCCACATTGATCTTAATCTCCTTTAACTGGCTCTAAAATCTACATTCCATATCATTCGCTTTGATCCCATTAATCCATCTCTACAGTCTCATTCTTACTTAACACATTTTCATATGTCTTTATTCCAAGTAAAAAGGAAAGGCAAGTAGGTTTCATCTCATGTCAGCCCTAATCAGCGAATAGTGGATAGTTGTCTGCCTAGAGGGCTGTGATGAGAAGATTTCAAGGCCTTGTCTAGATAAAAGAGAAAGAGTTGGTAAGTGATACCTGCCCTGGGCACTGCAGTAGGGAATGAAGACACACATCCCACTGAGGTGAGGTCAGGCACCCTCTCTTATTCTTCACTTGTACTCCTGTCAGCATCAAGGTTACAATTCTATAATTTTCATAATATTGGAATCCATTTAATACATTATCTCAAGTGATCCTTGAAACAGTCTTATGCAATAAATAGGGGCAGATATTATCCTCATGGGACAACTGTAAAAACTGATGTTCTGAGATATTAAATGGTGTGTCCAAACATCCAGTGAGTGAAACCATAGGCCTTTCTATTTCTGGCTCAGCTCTTCACTCCACCTACTGACCTCTGAGCCTTTTATTTATCTTTATGTTCCGAGAGCCTGGCACAGCCTGGAGACAAAGTATTTATTGAATATATGAGCAACTTTTCCTACCTCTTATACAATCAATGTTTGTTCAGAGGCTGTGTGATCTGATAAAAACAAGGCTTAATACTTTGCTGGCTCCCAGTTGGAGCCCACAGCCATTGCCTTGCTTTGGCTCTGATGTTTGGTCGACTTGTTGACTGTCTTTATTTTCTCACAGTTGTGGAGGCCAGAAGTCTGAAATTGAGACATCAGTAGGGATGCTCTCCCTCCAAAGGCTCTAGGGGAGAACCTTCCTTGCTTCTTCCAGTTTCTGGTGGCTCCACGCCTTCTTTGGATCATGGTCACTTCACTCCAATCTCTGCCTCCATCTTCACATGTCCATCTCCTCTATGTCTCTTATCAGGATTTAGGGCCTACCTGGTTAATGCAGGATGATCTCATTTTTTTAAAAAAGATTTTATTGGGGAATTCGGAGAGGGGAACAACGTTGGGGAATCAGGAAAGGGGAACAGACAAGTTGCTGTCCTTTTGTTCTTGTCTAGTTGTGGAGGATGTTGCTTCACTGGCCCATGTTGGTATTATCATTGCGTTCTTCCTGGGTAAGGCAGTTGCTCACCAGCCATTGGATGGCTGCTCACGGAGGCTCATGGCAGCTCACAAAAGTTCACACCCACTGCTGACCAGCCCCACTGCAGCCTACGCCATTGCTGGCGACTCACTGCAGCCCAGCTCCAGGTTGAGCTGTTGTTCACCATCTTAGCTGTAGAGGGCGCAGCATCACTGGCCCTCATATGGGATCTGAACCAGGGCCCTGCTGCTCAGAGCTGGCATCCCAAGCCAACTCTTAACCAATGTGCCACTCAGCCGGCCCAGGATGATCTCATTTTGAGAACCTTAACTTAATTACATCTACAAAGACTCTTTTCCCAAATAAAGTTACATTGACTGGTACTGGGGGTTAGGACTTGGACATATAATTTTGGGGACCACCATTCAACCCACTGCACCAGGAAATACATTTCTTTAGGCTCTATTTTTTTTTTAACATGGAATGTGTGGTCATTTTATGTCAATATTGCTAAACAAGGAAAAACAAAAGCACATTTTTAAGATGAAATGATTTATATATTCTATATGAAACCAAGGAGTCCTGATACTAGCAGATGGGGTACATTCTCTCCATTATTCATTTTAAGACAGGGATGCTCCCTTGGACTGAGATGTATGGCCATAGATGTGGCCTAATGTTTTGTGGGGGTCTTGTGGATTTTTCATATACACGTTTTCACTCTGAGGAATAAAAAGAATTAATGTTTTTGGAGTCTCCCGTCACCTCTAAAATATTCATGTCAAAAGGAAAGCCTTTAAAAGGAAACATCAGTAACAGAGACTTAAAATAATTTGCTCGTTTTTCTCTACAGCTGTCAAGCAGGACTCAGTGGATGTTCGCTCTTACGTCGCTCGTTCCCTCCTCGATGGCTTTGAAGGGCCCTCTGGTTACAGCCAGAGGTTTGGGCTGTACCATGTCAACTTCAATGACAGCAGCAAGCCAAGGACTCCCAGGAGATCTGCCTATTTTTTCACCAGCATCATTGAAAAGAACGGTTTCCTCACCAAGGTAGTAAAAAGACTGCCACCCCCCAGTACAGCGAACCTCCCTGCTAAAATCAGAGCCCTCAATTTTCCATCTGAGGTGCCTTCCAAGTCTAAAGTAATTTGGGAAAAGTTCTCCAACGAACCCAAGTTTGAAAGAGATTTGTTCTACCATGGCACGTTCCAGGATGACTTTCTGTGGGGCGTGTCTTCATCAGCCTATCAGATTGAAGGAGCTTGGGACGCTGACGGCAAAGGCCCCAGCATCTGGGATAACTTTACCCACACACCAGGAAACAATGTGAAAGACAATGCCAATGGAGACATAGCCTGTGACAGCTATAACCAATTGGATGCCGATCTGAATATGCTTCGAGCTTTGAAGGTGAAGGCCTATCGCTTCTCTATCTCCTGGTCTCGGATTTTCCCAACCGGGAGAAAGAGTTCTCTCAACAAATATGGTGTAAATTATTACAACAGACTGATTGATGGCTTGGTGGCAAGCAACATCTCTCCCATGGTGACACTGTTTCACTGGGACCTGCCCCAGGCCCTCCAGGATATTGGAGGCTGGGAGAATCCTTCCTTGATTGAGTTGTTTAACAGCTATGCAGACTTTTGTTTCCAGACCTTTGGTGACAGAGTCAAGTTCTGGATGACCTTTAATGAGCCCACATACCAGGCATGGTTGGGTTACGGCTCAGGAGACTTTCCCCCGAATGTGAAGGATCCAGGCTGGGCACCTTACAGGGTTGGCCATGCACTCATCAAAGCCCATGCCAGAGCCTATCACACTTACGATGAGAAATACAGGCAGGAGCAAAAGGGGGTCATCTCTTTGAGCCTCAGTGCACACTGGGCAGAGCCCAAGTCACCAGAGGTCCCAAGGGATGTGGAGGCAGCTGACCGAATGCTGCAGTTCTCACTGGGATGGTTTGCCCACCCCATTTTCCGAAACGGAGACTATCCTGATGCCATGAAGTGGAAAGTGGGGAACAGGAGTGAACTACAGCACTTAGCCACATCCCGCCTGCCAAGTTTCACTGAGGAGGAGAAGAGGTACATCAGGGCGACGGCCGACGTGTTCTGCCTCAACACCTACTCCTCCAGAATCGTGCGGCATACAACACCCAGGTTAAACCCACCCTCCTACGAAGATGACCAGGAGACGATTGAGGAGGAGGACCCTTCATGGCCTTCCACAGCAATGAACAGAGCGGCAGCCTGGGGGATGCGAAGACTGCTCAACTGGATCAAGGAAGAGTATGGTGACATCCCCATTTACGTCACTGAAAATGGAGTGGGGCTGACAAATCCAAAGGTGGAAGATACTGAAAGAATATTTTACCATAAAACCTACATCAACGAAGCTTTGAAAGGTATGTGAGGGTTCATGCCCCCTTACAAAATCTTCCAATAGCCACATCTTATGTGCCTGAAATGGTTTGGCAGAGTGGATTACAAGCCATCAATCTCTCTCTTATGCTCTAATTCCTTAATTCTTTCTCTTTCTGGGGTTACAGATCCCTTTGGAAATCTGAGAAAAAGCTGTGGTCATCTCCCCAAATGTACCCACACACAACTTCCACGAGAATATTTACATAGGTCCATTGGTTTATTATTGAGCAAGTGCTATGTGACTGGGGAAACAGCAGTGAACCAAACAGATAACTTTCTGCTGAAATGCAGCTTTATTCCAATGGGTTCCATTCACCCCAGAGCAAGAAACTCTTCTGTAATTCACATTTCTGTGTTTAACTTCTGAAGCAGGCTAAGACGCTTGAATTTGAGACACATCCCTTTACCCCAACAAAAGAATTTGATTTTACAAAGGTCAGTTATTAGTACTTGCAATGGGGGCATCAGTGCTGGTGAAAATAAAGACACACAAGATGATCTATCAGCATACATTACTTGTGTGTACAAGTTGATGGTTTAGGACTACTGTCTGGAGTTGAGGAGCCGGTACATGGCTGGACTTCTTGGGGCCCCTGATCTCTGGGGGTAATTCTCTCCTCTGCTCCCTTTGGAATGTTCCCAGCCTACAGGCTTGATGGTGTAGACCTTCGAGGGTATGCTGCATGGTCTCTGATGGACAACTTTGAGTGGTTGAATGGCTACACAGTCAAGTTTGGTCTGTACCACGTTGATTTCAATAATGTGAACAGGCCTCGCACAGCGAGAGCCTCTGCCAGGTACTACACAGAGGTCATCACTAACAACGGCATGCCACTGCCCAGGGAAGACGAGTTTCTCTACGGTCAGTTTCCCGAGGGCTTCATCTGGAGTGCAGCTTCTGCTGCATATCAGGTAAGGAGTTCAGGGCCATTCAGCAACATCTACTGCATACCTACTATGTGCCAGGCTCTGGGCTTGGTGTTGGGGAGGGCAGGCGTGAGCAGGGGCTTTTTATAGACAGTGGGAGTGAAGTGCAGGATGCCGTGGGGGGGGAACCTGGGAGGTCCTTCCTGTTCCCGGACAGCCTGGCTTCTTCACATCCACCAACGCAGGCAGACCAGCAGTTACAAGGGCTGTGCTGAGATGGGTGTTAGCAGGCAAGATGGGGCAGGAGGAGCCTGGGTAGAGACCCAGGCAAAGACGTGCAGATGTGAAGATTCTGGCCAGATGCTTTATTTCTCACCTAGTATCCTCCAAGTAGGCAATTTGCTCAAAATGGCCATGACATGGGCCTAGATTTTTTTCTGATGTCCTAACAACATCACACTGTTACCTTATTCATGCCAAATGCAGCTTACTAATACAGAAAAATATGAGGGTTTTGCTTTTCCCCAGAAAAATAGAAAATAAAAAGCAAAGACTGGCTTACATACACGCGCGCGCGTGCGCGTGCCCGCACGCGCGCGCGCGCACACACACACACACACACACACACACACACACACACACGGTGCCAAAAAAAAAATGTATACACATTTTGAGAAAGGGAAACTGTATTAAAATTGTGATAATATGTACCAATAACAAAAGATGAATACAAGTCACGTTTGACTTCTGCAATTACAAGAGGTGCTCAAAGTGGTTCCCATCAGCATCCAGACCCTTCTGATTACAGCGAACTACTGCTTGAGCAACGTTGACCAAAGTGTCCACTTGTATACATTTTTTTGAAATATATATAATCAGTATGGACTTATGGAGTCCTATTTTATTCAATGGGTTATCCTTTTGCTATCGTTACGTATTTAGATGCTCAAATCATCCCACATTTTGCCAGGTGGTGTGCCTTTTAGCTGGATCCTGTGTCTTTTTTTATGTGGCCCATCATTTTTTGAGCATTTCCCTTATTCTTTCTGGCACAACAAGGTGTTCCTGGCTCATCTTATACCTTTTGTGCCCCAGTCCTGTGATCAGCCATTTTTCTAATGGGCCCTGACACCTTTTATTGGATAAGGCCATTTAGAAGCCAAGATCTGGGTGCTTGGTTGCTCACTGCTACTGGGGTGTCATTATTTCTAGGCCTTCTCAGTGGACCAAGCTAGAAAGTACCTGTGTGTACACACACATACACATGTACACCCACTCATATATGCTTCTCCATCCACCCACACCTCTATATAGCTTAAAAACCATGAGTTCATACTGATACCTCCAATTCCAATTCATCTCCACAAGGTTAATGCTAGCTTTCCCATTTTCTACATTTGTATTCCTTTCTCCAATGGTAAGAAACCTAGCTCCTAATATCCTCAACATAATCACTTATTTGCTCAATCCCCCTGCATTAAATAATCCCCCAGCCACTGAGACCATCTCCTCCACCCAGCTCGCCCACACAGGGTGCATTCCTGCTGGCCCTGGGCCCTGCCACTCACACAGGGGCTGTGCAGGCCAGAATGACAACGCCTCCCTGGAACCTAGTCACATATATCACACCATATATGCTGAAGTGTTTTAAAGTGAATTATAGAAATCGTACCTGTCAGACTACCTAAGCCTACAGGTAGTTGTTTTCCCAGCAGCTTATAGTCAGTTAGTTTCCCCTTAAGACAGGTGGAAATACCAAAAAAAAAGCACAGAAACAGTGACACATGACCTGATGAGAAATTCTGCCTCCCCACTTGGCATCATTGGGATTTGTTTGGTCATGAGTGGGGTTGGACATGTGGAATCGTCCATTCAGACTTTTAGTGAGCACCCACTCTACACCAGACACTGTTACATGAACCACTGGGACACAAAGGGAAAGACGCAATGCCCTAGACCTTACAGTCTCTGGGAAGCCAGTCTGCAAGTGCGTAATTGCATAATGTGGGGTGACAGTGCCACGATGTCCAGAAAGTGTATCCAGGAAGCTGTAGGAGTTCAGAAATTGGAGGGTGGCCATTGACGACTCCCAGAAGTGATGCTGACTTAGGTCCTGACTCAGGACTCTCTTGCTGACAGAAAGGAACTTGTGGTGGCTTCACTGAATGAATTAATTAGACCATGTCTTGTCTTCTTGAGATTGAAGGTGCATGGAGAGCAGATGGCAAAGGACTCAGTATTTGGGACACGTTTGCTCACACCCCACTGAAGGTTGCAAATAATGACAACGGAGACGTGGCCTGTGACAGTTATCACAAGATTGCGGAGGATGTGGTCGCCCTGCAGAACCTGGGCGTGTCCCACTATCGTTTTTCCATCTCTTGGACTCGCGTCCTTCCTGATGGCACCACCAAGTTCATCAACGACGCGGGCCTGAACTACTACGTGCGGCTCATAGACGCGCTGCTGGCTGCCAACATCAAGCCCCAGGTAAGGCTGGGCCCTGGCCAGGCCTGTCCACAGCGGGGAGCCAGCTGGCCCACGAGCATGGCTGTAAACCAAGGCTGTTTTCAAATTTAATTTTTGCATTGTCAACAAATTCACTTAGTTAAGAATTCCAAAGGCGTAAAAGAGTCTGCAGTGTAGATTTTCCCTCCATCTCTGACCGCCTCCACATCATCCAGTTTGCTTTCTTATAGGCAATGAAGTTTGTAAGTTTCTCAGGTCCTTCTTTCGTGTACGGAAGCCCTTAGATGTGTGTGGATACATATTCCCTTTCCCCTCTATTTTTTTTGTAATGGCAAGACACATGCAGTTTGGTACTTGCTTTTATTTAACAGTATTTATTACAAGTATTTCCATATCCATAGTTTCCTCATTTGTTCTTTTGTTCTTGTTGTTGCCAAGCATTTTTTTGTACCTAACTTCTCTAATACCTCCCTGTTAATGGGTACTCTTCCCTGTGACATTTCCCCTCTTTTGCGATTATAACCAATACTATGATGAATAACCGTTGACATAGAGCAATTTGTATGGGTGGAAGTTTATCTGTTGGATGTGGTCCTAGGAACAGAATTGCTGGGACGAAAGTGTGTGTCTCTTTAAGCCATGAGTTATTATGCATATAACATAAGCTCATTTGTGGGCTTACTTTGGTATCATCAAAAAATTTAAACTTTACTTAAAAGACTAAAAACACTTCTCCTTTTCCCCTGGTCCATTTGTAAGTGGAAACGCTGGGGGAAGCCGGGTGAGGCATGAGTTCTATGAAGCTGTACGTCGTTCCCTCTGCTGTGGTGGTGGGAGGTTCTGCACTGCAGCCAGAGCATAATTCCCACATTACACCCCCCCTTCCCACCACTTTTATCTGGGAAAAAAGTCTACGTGGACTTTCTCTCCTCACACTGATAACACTGCAGGAACGAACCAGTCGTGGAGTTTATTACAGGCAGTGCTAGGCATTGACGGCGGAGAAGCGTGGCTGTCCTGCAGGACCCCATGATCTGGGTGGACAATGATTCATCACATCCAACAGTCCAGAACAACGTCAGAGAGCACAGCTCAGAGCCAGACAATTCTGTAGCCCTTGAGGGCACTGAGACACCGCAGAAAGGAAAAGCGCTGTGGCCAGGGACCTTCATGAAGGTGTGGGTCTCACAGAAGAGCATTTGGATGGGTGGGCGGGCAAGGGAAGGGTTTTTCAGGCAGAGGGAAGGACTTGGGCCTGGGCTGACGATGGTCAGTGGCCCAGGGCTGACTGAGGACAGTGGAGACCACAGCTTGACCAAGATGCCGTGTGTCAGGAGCATCAAAGGGAAGGCCGAGAGGGAAAGGCCACCCATACATAACCAGAGTACTCCTCCCAGCAAAGGGGTCCTAGTTCCACAGGAAGAAGCTCCAGACACACTGGATGATGTCCTTAGGGGTGTCCCTTTACAAGTAAAGTGGCTCCATCTTCCTGGGATCCTCAGGGCCTTTGATTCTCAGCTGTCTATCTGGGCAGGTTCTGATCCCTGACTATAACCGTAATTAACACTTACTGAAGAGCTGTCAGGGCCTCGTGATTTAGGCCTCACAGTGATTCCATCATGCGGAGGTCTTAGTGCCTGAGCCCAGAGTGGTAGGTGCTGAGCTGGGACTCAAACTCAGGCTTCTCTGACCCAGATGTATGCATTTCTCATGCTTAAAGGCTGCTGCCCTCCCCCTGCCACCAAAGAAAATCTGAGCCTTTTTGTATCTTCATTCTCAGCTTCAGCAGTAAATATCTGTGTTGGTGCATATATCACATCAATGGCTTCCCATAATAAGGAGGTTGATGGAATTGCTCTTGCTTTTCTGCAGGTGACCATTTACCACTGGGACCTGCCCCAGGCACTCCAGGATGTCGGAGGCTGGGAGAATGAGACCATTGTGCAGCGGTTTAAAGAGTATGCAGAAGTGCTCTTCCAGAGGCTGGGGGACAAGGTGAAGTTTTGGATCACGCTGAACGAGCCCTTTGTCATTGCCAACCAGGGCTATGGCTATGGGACGGCAGCTCCAGGTAAAGGTCCAGGCCCAGCTTGTCAGCTCTCTAGGGTGTGGCATTCTTAGCACCTGTAAGACAAGAAATCCAGGTGGCACTGGAGAAGGTGGCCACAAGAGCCCCAGGGCAGTGCCTCAGAACCCCCGCCTCGTGCTCAAGGCTGTCTGACAGGCAGCAGTTTCCCCTCTGACACCGCTTTTGCTAAACATGAATTGCACATGTCAGTGCCTCCAAATGGCTTCATTTCTGTGCTCTGCACCTCTGACCTGCCTCAAATAGGAAGTTCCCTGAAACCAGAGATGTATAGACTAATTGATGCAGGAAAAGGCCATCCATCAGGCTGTATAGGTCCAATCTGCTTTCTGCAACTCCCAAATCCCAAAGTTCTGGGTAATTGATGTGGATGCCATGAGCTCAGCCTGACTTGAACCAACATGAGGCTGCTCTGGTCGTCACCCCACTCAGCGTGAACATTTCTAAGTTCCGCTGCAGACACCTTAGTGTCCTTGGTTATGGAGAGCTGTCCCAGGCCCTGCTGGGGTGACAGGGAAATACACTACATGTGATTTATTACTTTTCTAAGCCACAAATGCCTTTTTGTTCCAAAACATATTTGACCCAAAGAGATTTGATTAAGGGACTGTCCTTGCTCCTTCAGAACCATTCAATTGTCCTTTTCTCTAGTTCTGAGCCTGAGAGTAAATTTGTGTTCATTTATGTGATCCCTTGTGATTTCGTGTAAAAGCTGGTAAGGGCTACAGGGAGACCTGCTTGGACTCATTACCAAAGGTATCTCCCACCGGCCCTTGGTTGGTGCTTTCGGTCACCATTCCTTCAGCACACGAGAGGCGGCCTCGCAACGTTGGCCCTGAAGGAAGCTCTGTCAGCTGCTTTTATCATCTATATTCTCCAACCCTTACTTTCACAGCACGTCCCCAGAGAGTGCCAGGATGTCACCTCCTGAGGTACACACTCTTTGGGTACTTTGCCGGAGACAGGAGCCACTCTTTGGGGGCGGGCGGTACAGAAACCACCATTTACCAAGTGCCTTCTCTTTGCAGACAGTGCTGCTGGGTGCTCACATACGCTGTTTTATTTCTGTCTCACAAGAACTCTCGATTGTTCATTTTGCAGAGGAAGAAACTGAAAGGCTGAATTACTTGCCCAAAGCGATACAACCTGCTAGTAAGAAGCAGAGTCAGGATTTAAATCCCATTCTTCTTTCCAAACACATAGTGGACGCCTGTAGGCAGAGTGACACTCATACCCACATTCTTTCTTCATTGACCTCCATGTTGTGTTTCCAGGAATCTCCTTTAGGCCTGGCACTGCCCCCTACATCGCTGGCCACAACCTAATAAAGGCCCATGCCGAGGCCTGGCATCTGTACAATGACAAGTACCGCACCAGACAAGGTGGCGTGATTTCCATCACCATCAGCAGCGACTGGGCTGAGCCCAGAAACCCCTCCAACCAGGAGGATGTGGAGGCAGCCAGGAGATACGTTCAGGTCTGTGTTCCCTCTGGGCATTGTTTTCCCTCTTGCCTATTTTTTCCCTCTTGTCATGATCTAGTGGAAAGAGATTGCAAAACAAAGATTTAGGATCTAGGCCCTGTTTTGCTATTGTCTGAGTTTGTGAACTTGAGAAAATCACCTAACCTTTTTGGGCCTCAGTTTTCTCATTGGTGAAATGGAGAGATGACCTACCTACCTCATGGGTTTGCTGTGATGGAAGTTCTTTGGGGTTGAATTCTCTTTTAAGTCTTAAGACATTTTTTTGTTTGTTTTAAAGATTTTTTTATTGGGGAATTGGGGGAAGGGGAACAGACAAGTTGCTGTCGTTTTGTTCTTCAGTCTAGTTGTGGAGGACGTTGCTTCACTGGCCCAAGTGGCACCATCATTGCGCTCTTCCTGGGTGAGGCAGATCAGTCGCCGGCTTCTGGACGACTGCTCACTACGGCTGCTGGCCGCTCACGCTGGCTGCTGGCTACACATGGTAGCCCATGGCAACCCACTGCCACAGGGAGTGCAGCCTACGCCGACGCCAACGACTCACGGCAGCCCAGCTCCAGGTTGAGCTGTTGTTCAGCATCTTAGCTGTAGAGGGCAGTGTCACTGGCCCTCATATGTGGGATCCGAACCGGGGCCCTCTGGCGTCCCAAGCCAGCTCTTAACCAACGCACCACTCGGCCGGCCCAAGAAATTGTTTATTTATGTGGTTCTTACTGGGTGTAATGTTGGCTTGAAGCTAACAGAAATTCCATCTCTTCAATCACTGGTTTGACTCTACAGCTAATAGAGCTGGGCTGCAATGTCACACCTCACCTCTAGGTGTCACCATCCAATCTTATTTCCTCAGTCTAAGAATTCATTAAATTGGGAACTTTAGACTCTGTGAAACTCAATAGTGCTCCTAATTTTCAATTCCATGAGTTTAACATAAGGACATGCATCTTTTGGTCATGGAATTTGGCTCCTAGGAAGTGGAAACGCTAGTAAGTAGGTGCCAACAAGATGAGCCGCCCTTATTTTAGTCTGGGCCTCATCATAGCAGTTTCCCCTGGCTCCTGTTAATGTCTCGGAAGAGGTTAGAAGGCACCCTCTCCCATGTTTCAGCATCTGGAAAGAAAGCAAGGGCGTCTCTCTCCAGACCGGTCCCCACTTTTGGCTTTGGGGAGGAGCCTGCAGACTGCGGCATTCTGAGGGGACACCAAGGGCCTTGGTTTGCCGAACTCTTTACAACAAAACTTGACAAAGGTGGTTAAATTAATAAATGCAAATAAAAGCTTAATTTTCCTGCTTTCTAGCCAGCTGGGGAAAAAGTCTTGGAACAAAATGAATGCATCCCTCATTTTAGACTCACAGAACATATTGAATTAGAGCACTAATTTATTTTCTGAAATCAAAACCCCAGACCTCAGGAAGTGTTAGGCTGGAGTTTCATTACATGGAGCCAGTTGCTGGTGAGCTGTGAAATTGCAGCCCCTGGACTATGACACACACATCTCTAGTAAAATCAGCTTCTACGGAAAGGTCTGCTATGTTACCTCAGAACGCGTGGAGGCTTTTCCCAGAGCGTGTGCTTCAAGCCTCTTCTCTGCTTGAGAATGGAAGGCTGCCCTCACCCCACACTTTGGGCATCAGCTAGCAGGTGAGGGGAGGATGTGGAGACAGAAGCCTCATAGCATTTGGGTCCCATTATTCTCCCTAAGGGTAAGGATGGCCTAGACCTCATTCAAGAATATAGAAAAGTTCCCACTTTAGGACTGCGAATCCCACACCCATGAAAAACCATCCTTTGCCTGGGCCTCTGGAACAGCCTTGCTCAGCCCTCCCTGGAAAGTTATGGGGGATCCCTAGGCATGACGATGGGGAAGGACCTACTCTGTGATTGAGACAGGGAGTCGCAGCCTGGAGGCTTGGAGTCGCTCCCCACTTCCGCAGAACCCTTCTAAGGCAGTACTGAGTTCTGGGCCAGGGTGCAATTCAGTTCATCTCCCCTCAAGCTGTTCTCAGTGAGACTGCAGCTACTAAACCAAATGAGGTGAAAAGAGCTTTGAGCACTTAAGCTGCAATATGGAAAAACAGCAGAGGAGATGAGAGTTTAAGATTGGGGATTGGGAAGAATGTGGAGGCAGAGTTTCCTGAGCAGAGAAGTCCCCTGTTGTGCCCACCTGTTAATGCCCAGGCTGACTGTCCCCCTCCCACTCCCCTGCAGTTTATGGGAGGCTGGTTTGCACATCCTATTTTCAAGAATGGAGATTACAACGAGGTGATGAAGACACGGATCCGTGATAGGAGCTTGGCCGCAGGTCTCAACAAGTCTCGGTAGGTTCTGGTGTCCACACACTCAGGCGGGAGGTCAGGAGGAAGTTTGGTCTGTGGTGCTGAACTGAGGCTCCTGGGTGGACAGCACGGTGGGGAGAGCATGGCTGTTTGGGTCAGAGAGGTGTGTCAGAGGCACACACCTCTGTATCTCTGAGCTTCCTTGCTTGCTGGGAAGATTAAACATGATCATGCATGTAAGCCCTTAGCCCAGGACTTGACAAAAGGCAGTGGCTATTATGTTATTATTCTCCAGATCAGCCAGGAAATCTACCTCAAGTGCACCCACTTCTTATCAACCCACTACCTCACTCCAAGGACAAATTCCCCAGCTCATCCAATCCTGGTCCATCACCTTTTGAGTGAATTTGGATGGCAGTGGGTGATGGCCAGGCATGTGCTCTTTGTCGTCTGGCCAGGAGGAGGTGACGGTTTGCACAGAGTCCTACTTCCTGGCCTACCCCTCTTCCTGTGAAGGAAGGAATAGCAATATCAACAACAGCTAATATTTATCCATCTTCTGTTGGTACTTTTATTCCCATTTACTAGGCACAATGATTAGAGTAAGATCACCCAGCTACTAAATGAGGGAGCTGGGATAGGAAACCAGGGCCTGTCTGATTCCAGGGCCCACACTTGGTTGGGTCACCCAGCTGGGCTTAGAGGTGTGGTATATGGAAGAGGATGGAGGGACCTGGCCTTTTGGGATCATACCCACAAGCTCTAAGGTAGCTCATGTGCCATAGCTCAAAAGGCAGGAATTCCTAACATAGCCTTCGAGCTTTTCCCTCCAACTCCCCCATATAGCCATGCTGTGAGGATTACATAATCGTCCCCATCCTGGCCTGGGTAGGGCAAGTCCTGCAAAGCAGGCTGAACCTGAAGGTCTGAGCAGCCAACTCTGAGCTCCAACAAGTACTCCAGTCCATCAACACACTCTGCTGAGTGCCTACTATGCGCCCAGGTCAGGTCAGGGCCCAGCCCAGCAGGGTCCATGTAAGGCAGCGGTTCTCAACCTTTCACAGGGGTCACCTAAGACCATTGGAAAACACATATTTTCTATGGTCTTAGGAACCGAGACACCGCTCCTCTATCCGTCTCCAGGCCCACATGCAGATACGCCCACATACGAGTACCCGGCGACCCGTGAAAGGGTCGTTCGACCCCCAAAGGGGTCGCGACCCACAGGTTGAGAACCACTGATGTAAAGGAGAGGCTTCCCCGAGTCTGGCTCAATTTGCTGATACACCAACTAGAAAGACAGTAACCTTCATCACTCTAGGAAATTCTATTCCCCAATTTCTTCAAGCAAAGAAAAGTCAGATGAGATCAGCATGGGCTGGGTAGACCCAGGAGGGGTCAAGGCAGGACATCAGCTGAGTTGGGCTGACAGTGAATAGCCTTTGGGAGAGCAGAGGGCATTCCATCCAAAGGGCAGAGCGTGAGCACCAGCCTAGGCGTAGGAGTGAGTGGGGCCTGTGCAGCTGATGGTGCGTGAAGGGGGGGCGACACAGGACTGGCCTGGGAGCAGTGGAGAGGCCAAGGCCACAAGGTGGAGGGCCTGGAGGACAAGCAGAGGGGATCAGCCTTGGTGCCATGGGCCCCAAGGAGCCACTGCTGGCTCCTGAGCAGGGCAGTGAGGGGATCCGGCTTGTGTTCTGCCAGCAAGTTTCAGAAACCCCAGCAGGGGAAGGTTTTGATCCCCAGGTTAATGGTAGTAGAAAGGTCAAGATAAAGGTGTCAGGCACCTAAGCAGGGCAATCTCTAGGCAACCCTAAACCAGCAGCACCAGGGTCTCCCTGTCAGGAGCTGTATGTAGTCAGATTGGGCTGAGAGGAACCTGTAAATGCTGCACGCAGGTGCCTGTTAAGCAAATCTTATAGGAAAGTTTCACTTAGACATGAAAAATGCTCCACCAATGTTCGTTTTAAAAAGTGTAGCAAAATAATGTGAGCAGAGAAGTTCAAATCTCAAAAGGTCAGTAAATTTAATTTGTAAAAATATTTTCCCTACTGATAAAGGTAGACTTTGGAGAAAAAGGCAAGCCTAAACCACAGCAAAAACAGAATAACTTACAGAAATACGAATTATAAAAGATAACCTTATAAACGGGAAGGGTTAGTCTCAAGGTATGTACCTCAGACATGTTCTTGATTCAAAATCTATCATAGATTGTAAGTAGCAGAAGTTGCATATGTTAATTTTTGAAGGAAATAGAAAATATGTATGTATCCGTGTGTGTGGCCCTGAAAGGGAGGCTTATAAAAGGATAGACTAGTTTCATTTTGCAGACAGGAAGGAGAGGGTCTTGTAACAACAGAGGGAGGCGAGGTCTGTGGTCTGGTAGGAGGGGCCTTGGGCCCTTCCAGCAGCAGCTGGAAGGGCCTCTGGTTCCTGGCCAGCTGCCCCTGTCACACCCTAGTCACCACAGGGTGCCTGTAGTTCTCAGCGCTGCCCCAGCCCTGCGCCAGGACACTCTCCTCCCAAAGCATGGCTCTTCCTGAAGTCCCCTGTCCTAATGGCCCCTTCCACCCAGGCTCCCGGAGTTCACGGAGAGTGAGAAGAGGAGGATCAAAGGCACCTATGACTTTTTTGGGTTCAATCACTACACCACTGTCCTGGCCTACAACCTCGACTATGACTCTAAGATCTCTTCCTTTGACGCAGACAGGTAAGACCACGGGGCCCGTCTAGAACAATCTTTAGAAAAGACAGTAAGCTGCCCCTTTGCCCATCTCTTACTTAAGAGGCCTGCACTGCCTCCTGATGCCTGATACATCCCGGGGTTTGTAAGATGAGCCCCATTCCTGGGACACCTAATCAAACCCTATCAGTCTCATAGTAATACAGGCTAGGATTTCCAAGATGCTTTCCATTAACACAGACATGCCTGGAGTGGTTAATGTTTTCCAGAAAAACCTTTATTTTCCCTTGTTTTTCTTTTTTTGGTCAAATTTATTTCACTTATCAGGTGTATTTCAGTGAAAGTAACAATAAGGTATATTTTTTCCTTGTCAGGGTAAAGCTTAAACTATTCTGTATTACACAAATAATGTATGTTCATGGTGGAAACAAAGCAAGAGTAGTAAATTCTTTTATGTGTCATTTCAGAAGTATATGTGTGTGTGGGGGAGGGTGTACTACCTCTGTCATATATACTTACTTATACATAGTTCATATAGTATATATTTATACATAAATATTCACTTATATGTTACCAAAAAAACCAGGATAATCTGTATCCACACTATTTCGTTCCTTTGCTAACAAGCATGTTTCCACCTTAGTAGTGTGAATCTGTCCAGGTTCTTCCTTTGAAAACAAATGCCTACATCACAAGAGTCAGGCTCAGTAAGGGGGGCTGAGAAGATCCCTGCTGGCCCCCATTCGGGCCCCCATTCAACTCTTGCTGCTTCATTGGTCCTGGGACTGTCTCTCCACTGACCTGTGCTCAAGCTATGAAATGCCCCATATTCAGTTCAGCTGAGCAAGATAAATCCAGTTACCGATAAAACTAAAAAAATTTTTTTTCCTGAAGATTTTGGATGTTAAGAAGTACCTAAATAACTGGTCCTCATTGAAATGACTCGAGATGTTCGAGCTTCTTTGCCTCCCCCAGCAGGCGCTCCTTTGGCACAATCTGTTGCCCTGCCCTTGTCCATCACTGGAGAGAGGGAGCGTTTTGGGGACTTGAAGCAGGTCCCGGCCTACTGCTCCATCACCACACAACTGGGCTGGTGCCTGTGGCACTGACCAGATGCAGGTGGCTCAGGGGAGCCCCTTCTCTGCAGACGTGGCACTCATGCCCCACTGAAGACTGTGGCTGGGGAAACCCAGAGCCCTTTCACATCTACTGTGCAGCGTGGTCTGTTAACAGAGCCCATGGCCGGGGAGGTCCATGAGTGAGACCATTCCACTGGGCAGGGGAAAGCTATGTCAGGGAGCTTCAGTGGCTTGTCCAAAGTACACCAGCATTGAGTAGTGCAACTAGAACTTAGGAAAACAGCATTTGAGGCAATCTATTCTGGGTTTCGTTATGACTTTTAAGACTAGACAAAACCTAAGGCTTTTCCTAGTATAAATCCTGTTTTGTCTTTTGTGCAAAGGGCCTCTTGGGGTTTACAAAATGAGACCTAATCTTGTGTTTGAACTGGTAGGGGAGTTGCCTCCATCACAGATCGCACTTGGCCAGACTCTGGCTCCTTCTGGCTGAAGATGACACCTTTTGGCTTCAGGAGGATCCTGAACTGGTTAAAGAAAGAGTACAACAACCCTCCAATTTACGTAACAGAGAATGGAGTATCCCAACGGGGAGAAACGAGCCTCAAAGACACTGCAAGGATCTACTACCTCCGCAGTTACATCAACGAGGCACTCAAAGGTATGCCCGCCCCCCCAAACCCATGCTGTTGGAAACCCAAACTGTTGGAAACACCTGCTAACGTCTGCAGTTAAGGTAATACCGCATCCACAAACCCCCATGAGAAAGATGAGGCATCTTGCTCCTGTTGGATTTAAGCTTCTTTGGGGCTGCACTGAGCTTTTTCCTTCCTAGATTTAAGCTCAGCAAGCAAAGCCAGTTGCCTGACAAAGCTAGACCCGAGTTCCTGGCCTGAGCCATTTGCGCCCTTGATCCTCACTGAGGCGTGGTGCCCCTGGCCAGCAGCGCCCTCCCGAGGATGGCTGTGGAGGGGCCAGGAGGACAGGGCTGGGGCACTACCTGTAATGGTTTTTGTTCCCCAAGCACGTTTGAGATTCTCAGCTCAGCAGGACTTGGAATGGGACTATGACAAGGAAACGGTAATACTGAGTAAAAGAGAAGGAGCAATGCAGCAGTAAAAACAAACGATTAGAAAATCCTCTTCCAGCTAAAATCTTTTCCGAGGCCACTTATTTTCTATAAGGAGCAATACTAGTCTACCCACGATCCCGACTCCCACTCTGGGGGTTAGCCTTTCTAGAAAAACGCTGATGGCTCTGCAGCTCCATCACAGAGGACCAGCTAACAAATACTGCATCAGTGGACGGGCAGCTTTCTCAAAGGGTGAAAACAAGTTCACTTTAACCTGCACATGGGGGCTGTGGAAAGCTGTGGGCAGGCACGGCCTTGGAAGGCCTGATGCAAAGGTGTCTGATGAGGGAAGCTCATGCCGGGGCCTGTGTCTGGACAGCTGTGCAGGATAAGGTGGACCTTCGAGGATACACTGTCTGGAGTGTGATGGACAACTTCGAGTGGGCTACAGGCTTTGCAGAGAGGTTTGGGCTGCATTTTGTGAACTACACTGACCCGTCTCTGCCAAGGATTCCCAAAGCGTCAGCCAAGGTCTACGCCTCGATCGCCCAGTGCAACGGCTTCCCTGACCCGGCGGCAGGGCCACACCCTTGTCTCCAGCCAGGTGAGCCAAGGCTCTGGGACACTAAAGCCAGGGGGTGATGGGCGAGAGGGGCCTATTTTCTTCCAATTTATTACCCTCCTCTCTGCCTCTCCATCCCTTTTATTCATTCAACCAATATTTAGTTTCTTTGAATGTTCTTAGGATGGAACAAAGGAGCTAACTTAGAGTTGTTACATTCAGAAAGTGGGCCCTGGGCTGGGAACAGTGGGCCTAGAGTCTTGTCCAAGCCCTACCCACTAACCTGGTGTGCGGCCTGGGCAAGAAACTAGGCAAATGTTCTGGGCTGGTGAGAGGATCAGATATAATGACTGTTGAAAACACAGTGCCTGGCATAATGTAAGGAGCCTAGTGTTTGTTGAATGACTGAAAAAGTATAAATTACTACACAAAAACTTAGGAGATAATCACCCAGTTTAGACTATACCCTAATTGCTGATAGAGATGTTTCAAAAATAGAACTACTGAAGTTCATTCAGAGGCTCGGACTCAGAGAAAGGGGTGCACACCTCAGCAGGGTGCTCCTTCTGGGTACCTGTATATAGACTTCTGCATCTAGCTCGGACTTAACACAGGTGAACATAAACCCAGTAACTCCGTCTGCACTAGTGTGTGATCCGCCCTTTGCTGTCCTCTCCTAGACGCTGAACCAACTGTCGGCCCCATGAGAGAGGAGAAAGTTCAGTTCCTGGGCCTAACACTCGCTGCGACAGACGCACAGACAGCTTTGTACATACTCTTCTTCCTTGTGCTTCTCGGAGTCTGTGGTGTGGCATTACTGTCATACGTGCACTGTAAGCTCTCCAAGCAAAGGAAGACACAGCCAGGTCAACAGGAACTGAGCCCCATTTCTTCATTCTGACCCCCATATTTCCACTGCCTTCAGTTCTGCAAAATAAACCATTTCTTTATAGGTATATACCTTTGCTGCCCACAAACTCCTTAGGATATTATATTCTGCCCCTACCAGGCTTCTTGCACCATTAGAGACCACTTTCATCTTGAAGGTTTTCAAGTCCCTGATTAAAATGGAGATATCTGCATCTTGCCCGGTGTCAGGAATTCATTTGGGCATTTGTAGCAGACCCTGCAAGCAGCTCTTGTGGAAAAGTGCACTTACTATAAACTCAGCTAGTGGTTCCGTAAGACACTTCATTTAACTGGGCTGTTTCCAGTTTCAGAGACTTTTAAGGTAGAAACAGGAGTAAAAACCATAGCAGTCCTTTTTATAAGAAATCAACTCTATTGCTTAAATGGACTGCAATGTCACCTCCTGCCCTCTCTTCAAGCTCCCTCCCAACCTCACACCTTATGTTTCTCAGAAAATAAAAGTGGTACTGTGAACGTGTCCTATCCCCTATGAGTGATTCTCCTTGAGGAAGTAGGTTCCCCAGAAGTCATGAAGTCACACAAGCCATGTGGGACGTCTAAGCCGTCCCACCAGCTTTCTGCTTATGCTATATATTCCCTGCAACATAGAAACCATAACATACAAAGAGAGTGACCTGTGAATGATCCTTTATTCCCCCATTGCAGCTTTTCTGTCCTTCCTGCCTCTCCCCTGCCTACAGGCAGACGTCTAAGAACCCAAGTATGGCCTTTAAGGCTCGTGTGATATCACCTTGGTTCACTTAGCCTGTTTCCGTTTCCTCTCAATTTGTGGTAGTTCTGAGCTGCATGTAAGTCCCTGATGATTCCATACGACTTTTTGTCTTTGCAAATACTATTCCTTCTGCCTAAGATGCCCTTTCTCCTGAATATGCCTTTAAGTCTCCGTTCAGATAATGTACTTCCCCTCCGGAGAGCTCCCCTGAATTCCCCACACAGACACTGTTTCCTGACTTTGCTTGTGCTCATCTCCTCCCACGACATCAAAATTACAACTAAATTATGGAACAAACATCACCAAGATCACTTTGTAGGTCCTACGAAGAGGCCCCAAGGCTGGCTGGCATAAGTGGCAGCTGACCTTGGCCTACACCGGACCGCTCCCAAGAGGCTCCAGAACCAACACACCTGGTGGCTGGCTACAGACCACACCAGAGTACCACCCAACCAGCTACACAAATGACCCATCTGAAGGGCGGAATCGGCTGGCATGAGAGCCCCACTAAAGCGACTCCTGCTCTGTGGTGTCAGCCCTCACAGCCAGTAAGCCTCTCACTCCACCCACTAATGTACCAACAGCAATCAAAGCTCAACAGGAAGGCACACACAACCCACACAAGGGACACACCTGGAGCACCAGGCTGTGGTGACCAGGGAGACTGCACCACAGGGAATGTACCCACAGGGCACCTACTACACACCGCCACTCTTCCAAGACCAGGAGACATAGCAGATCTACCTAACACATGGAAACGAACACAGGGAGGTAGCCAAAATGGGGAGACAAGGAAACATGTTCCAAATGAAAACACAGAACAAAGCTCCAGAAAAAGAACTAAATGAAATGGAGACAAGCAGTCTATCAGATGCACAGTTCAAAACACTTCTCATAAGGATGCTCAATGAAGTTAGGGGGGAAATAGAAAAACCCAGTGAGAACTTAAAGAGATAAAGACCATAAAAAAAAAACCAGTTAGAAATAAAGAATACAATAAATGAAATGAAGAATACATTAGAGGGAATCACCAGCAGATTAGATGAAGCAGAGGATTGAATCAGCGATCTGGAAGGCATGGTAGTGGAAAACACCCAATATGAACAGCAAAAAGAAAAAAATTTAAAAAACGAGCATAGTTTAAGAGACATTAAGTACATCAAAAGTACCAACATTTGCATCACAGGAGTACCAAAAGGAGAAGAGAGAGAGCGAGCAGCGATTTAAAATCTATTTGAAGAAATAATGACTAGAAATTTCCCTAACCTGGGAAAATAGACATATTAAGTCCAGGGAGTACAGAGAGTCCGAAATAAGATGAACCCAAATAGGCCCAAACCAATAAACATCATAATTAAAATGCCAACAGTTAAAGACAAAGAGGGAATTTTAAAAACACCAAGAGAGCTCTCATAAGATTATCAGCTGATTTCTCTACTGAAATTTTGTAGGCCAGAAGGGATTGGCACAAAATATTCAAAGTGATGAAAAGAAAAGACCTACTACAAACATTACATTACCCAGCAAGGCTATAATTTAGAATCAAGGAGAGTTTCCCAGACAAGAAAAAGCTAAAGAATTTCATCACCACTAAACTAGTATTATAAGAAATGTTAAAGGGACTTCTTTAAGATAAAAAATATAGGAAGGAAAAAAATTTCTTACTGACAAAGGCAAGCAGTAAGTGCAATGGACCAACCAACTGTAAAACTAGTACAAAGGTTAAAAGACCAAACTAGGAAGATCATGTGTAATTACAAGAATAAATAAAAGCAAATGTGGGCCGGCCGAGTGGCACATTGGTTAAGAACTGGCTTGGGACGTCAGAGGGCCCCGGTTCGGATCCCACATATTAGGGCCAGTGACACTGCCCTCTGCAGCTAAGATGGTGAACGGCAGCTCGACCTGGAGCTGGGCTGCCGTGGGTCGCCAGTGACGGTGTAGGCAACAGTCCCCTGCTGCAGTGGGTTGCCATAAGCTACCGTGTGTAGCTGGCAGCCAGCGTGAGTGGCCAGCAGCCGATGTGAGCAGCCATCCAGAAGCCGGTGACTTATCTGCCTCGCCCAGGAAGAGCGCAATGATGATGCCAACTTGGGCCAGTGAAGCAACATCTTCCACAACTAGACTGAAGAACAAAACAGCAGCAACTTGTCTGTTCCTCTTACCCCAATTCCCCAGCGCTGTTCCCCTCCCCCAATTCCCCAATAAAATCTTTATAAATAAATAAATAAAGCAAATGTGAGTGTGCGTGCGCACGCACACGCGCACACACACACACACACACACACACACAAAGGAAAAATGACAAAAACATAAATGGGGAGGGGGTAAATAAAAATTGTAGTGAGTTGGAATGTGTTGGAACTTAAGTGATCATCAACTTAAAATAAACTGTTATAAACATAGTTTGGTATATATGAAGCACATGGTAACCACAAACCAAAAATCTACGAGATAAGAAATAAAGGAAAAGGAATTCAAATACAAAATTGTAGCAAGTCATCAACATACAACAGAAGAGAGTAAGAGAATAAGGAAGGAACAGAGAAGAACTACAAAAATAATCAGAAAACAATAAAATACAATAACTACATACCTATCAATAATTGTCATAAATGTAAATGAACTAAATGCTCCAATCAGAAGACATAATGTGGCTGAATGGATTAAAAAGAAAAAAGACCTGTACTGTATATATGCTGCCTACAAGAGACCCACTTCAGATAAAAAAAATCACAGACTGAAAATAAAGGGAGGGAAAAAGATATTTTATGCAAATGAAAACAGAAAAAAAGGTGCAGTAGCAATAATTATATCAGACAAAACAGACTTTGAAACAAAGGCTGTAACAAGAGACAAGGGCATTTCACAATGATAAAGAGATCAATCCAACAAGAGGATATAACTCTTATAAACATTTACGCACCCAACACAGGAGCACCTAAATATATAAAGCAAATATTGATGGACATAAAGGGAGAGATTACTATAGTAGTCAAAACAGCATTGGGACTGGCATAAAAACAGACACATAGATCACTGGAATAGAATAGAGAGCCCAGAAATAAACCCATGCCTATATAGTCAATTAATCTATGACAAAGGAGGCAAGAATATATTGGGTTGTCAGAAAAGTCATGACGCATTTTTGCAACGAAAAACAGAGAAAAAATACGTCATGACTTTTCCGACAACCCAATACAATGGGGTAAAGACAGTGTCTTCAATAAGTGGTGCTGGGAAAACTGGACAGATACATGCAAAAAAAATGAAACTAGATCACTTTCTTACACCATATACAAGAATAAACTCAACATGGATTAAAGACTTAAATGTAAGAGGTAAAACCGTAAAACTCCTAGAAGAAAACATAGGCATTAAATTCTGACATCACTCTCAGCAATGTATTTTTGGATATGTCTCCTCGGGCAAGGGAAACAAAAGAAAAAATAAACAAATGGGGGCTGCATCAACCTAAACAGTTGTTGCAAAGTGAAGGAAACCATCAACAAAATGAAAAAGACAACCTACTGAATGGGAGAAGGTATTTGCCAATGATAAAGGGTTAATAATCCAAAATATATAAAGAACTCATACAACTCAACACCAATAAAACAAACAATCCAATTAACAAATGGACAGAGGACCTGAATAGATATTTCTCCAAAGAGAACATACACATGGCCAATAGACATATGAAAAGATGCTCAAGATCACTAATCATCAGGGAAATGCAAATTAAAATCACAATGAGATAATCACCTCACACCTGTCAGAATGACTATGATCAATAAATCAACCAACAAGTGTTGGTGAGGAGGTAGAGAAAAGGGAACTCTCATACACTTTTGGTGGGACTGCAAATTGGTACAGCTACTACGGAAAACAGTATAGAGGTTCCTCAAAAAGTTAAAAATAGAACTACCTTATGACCCAGCAATTCCATTTGGGGGTATTTATCTGAAGAAATCAAATACACTAATTTGAAAACACACATGCACCCCTATGTTCATTGCAGCATTATTTACAATATCCAAGATACAGAAGCAACCTAAGTGTCCATCAATAGACAAATGGATAAAGATGTGGTACCTATATACAAGGGCATATTACTCAACCATATAAAAGAATGAAATTTTGCCATTTGCAACAACATGGATGGACCTAGAGGGTATTACGCTAAATGAAGTAAGTCAAACAGAGAAAGATAAATACTATGTGATTTCACTTATAGATGGAATCTAAAAAACAAAATTAATGAACAAACAAAACAAATACTCATAGAAAGAGAACAAATTGATGGTCGCCAGATGGGAGGGGGTTTGGGGAACAGGTAAGGTGAAGGGAATAAGAAGTATAAATTGGAATTTATAAAAATAGTCACAGGGTAAAAAACAAAATAGTCACAGGGGTATAAAGTACAGCATAGGGAATATAGTCAATAATATTGTAATAATTCTGTATGGTGTCGGATGGGTATTAGAGTTACTGGGGTGATCACCTCTTAAGTTATATGAATGTCTAATCATTATGTTGTACACGTGAAACTAATATACTATTGTATGTCAACTGTGATTGAAAAATAAAAAAAAAAATAACTTGGGAAAAAAAAAGTAGTTTTCAACTTCTTGAAATTTCATTTCTCATAAAAGAATTGTATCTATAGAAATCCTATGAAAATGTTCCATTGCGGTGGGCCCCAACCTGGAAGTCAGGAACTGTGGTGCACAAACAATTTCTCCATCAATAGATAGGAAGTTTGTCAGATGGGGGTGAGGGTGGTTCCTAAACTGACATTGAAGATATTTCTTGGGAAGAAAGTATTATAAGCTGCCAATTATACATAAATTAATCTCAAAGTTCAACATTACTTTTTTTGGGGGGGCACATAGACATAATATAAAGGCTCACATTAAATAAACTTGCAACAAAAAAAAGGATAAATCTAGGGGATAGAATATTAAAACTTTATAAAACTAGTTATAAAAAGTAGTTGGGTAGCAGACAGAGGGGAGAATAAAAAGATCAACAATGGAAAAGAGAGCACTTAGACATGAAACAACTACATATGGGACTAAAGTATGTGACAAAGGTGGCATGCCCAATGCATGGGAAAGATGGATTATTCCATATATGGTGGTGGGTCAACAAGTTAGCTAGAGGACATCAGTCACAGGCATGGGGACGGAAGCCAAATCCCTTCCCAGATTTAAATGTAAAAATACTGAAACCATGAGAATACTAGGACAGATGAATTTTTAAAAATTAATTTAAGTGGGAAAAGTATTTACTCATATAAGCAAGACTTAAGACCCAGAGGTCATAAAGAAAAATAATAAATATGACCACATAAATATTATGGCAAAAACTTACCATCAACATACTCATCAAAAAATAAACAGGGAGAAAATATTTACAGCATATGTTAGACAAAGGACTAATTTTCTTAATATACATAGAATTCTTATAAATCTGTAAGAAAAAAATGGAAAACAAAATAAAAATTGGCAACGAATACTAACAAGCAGTTCTCAGAAAATAAATCCAAATGATCAATATTAAAAGATGTTCAATTTCATTCATGATCAACACAGTCCATTAAAAATGCAGACAATTTTTCATCTATCATGTTGAAAACGATGAAGAAATGTTGGTAAGGACATGGGGAACTCAATGTTCTCGTACACTGTTGGTGGGGCCATAAATTCATAGAGCCTGAAGAGGAGGCCATTTGGCAGCATCTTTTATAATTCAAACTGCAAACACCCTATGATTCAGTTAAGTTACACAAATGTATCCTACAGGTATATTTTCACAGCTAAGATTCCTTCTCAAAGATATTAATTGTAGCAATGTTTTTAATAGAAGAACAAGCAAAAAAAAATATTATAATAACCAATGAACACCACCAGAGAATGGATAAGTTGGGGTACATTTATGAAGTAAAATGCTATACAGCCATTAATAAGATGAGGTAGCTTTATATTGATAGGGAAAGGTCTTCAAGACTATAGAAGTAAAAAAGCAAGATGCATAGTAATATATATAATTTGATCCCATTTATTTAAAATATAAAGGTTACATATTTGCTTATTATGCATAAAAATGTTCTGAAGATTACAAAAGAAACTTAATAGAGGTTACTTCAGAGGAAGAGAACTGGGGGTAAGATGCAAAGAGGGCGATTCCGGTTTCATTTTATAGCCTTTTATACTGTTTTGAGTTTTTCTTTACCATGTATAACTTTTTAAAATATAAAACTGAGGAGGGATCCTCCTACTCAAAGACTGTGAACCATTCTTTTATGTATGTTTCTCTAAGATGTATATTTGAGTTTTTTCAAGGTAAACTCTCTTAAGTTACTCCCAAGTTTTTGCAAATGTATTTCTAAGTTATTAGTAGGGTCACACCCACTTGACAGTTTTTTTGTTTTGTTTTTAAATCCCATATTGCTTGCTATATTTTAAAGATGACAAACCTTAAATGGGATGCTTGCTTGATTTTTCTTTTTAAAGCTCATCTTTTAAATTATGAAAATAATATGACCATTGCAGAAAATCGAGAAAACATGTAAGGGTAAAAGAAAAAAGAACTAAAATTACATATAACCACTCTTACCATTGCTGATGTTTGTTGTCTTTTTTTTCTTTACATTATGTTAATACATAGTAGTATCTATATATAAACTAGGTTTACAAAGCTAGGATTGTTTTGTACCTACAGCACTGTATCCTGCTTTTTTTGCCCCCCAACATATAACAGGTACTTAATATATATTAAATTGAATTGTTGAATTAGTATTGTACCATTTTCTTCAATAAAAGTTTATTATTTCTGCACAAGGCATTTAGTTGGTTTCTAGTTCTCAGGTAAAATAAATAACACTTAATGAATATATTTATCCCTAAATTTTGTCTGCACTTATGATCATTCCTTAGGAAAAAATGATTGGATCAGAGAATATAAAATATTTAAGGTTTCTGATAATGTTTTTCAAAAAGGTTATACCAGTTTTCACTCCGACCACCACCAGCATAGCCTCACAGTTTCCTTGCTAACAATGACTATTATCATTTTTAAAAGTCAATGTTATTTCATAGGTGAAAAAGTTTGCTTTGATAAAATTTCTTCCTCCCATTACAAAATAGAGAGTCCTTCTATATGTTCATTCAAGAGTGATATCTACTAATCTAAAAGCAGAGGGTTAAAAGAGGAACTGTCATGGTTACTCCATTTTTCAAACATTATTAGTTCAGTGGACTCCACTACCAAAAATGTATGGATAAAGTAGCATGTAAGTTAGATTAAGAACGCTTTAAAGTTCTTAGGAATAACCAAATGAGCAAAAGGCCTATCTTTATTCCATACTTCTTGTTCTACATACAAGTACTTTAGGTCTTTGAAGAGTGATTATTGAGAGCAAAACTTCAGTAAAAAGGTTAAAGGACTAGCTATAGATTAGCTCTTGTTTTCAGTCTGATGAGAACAGGACTAGAAAATTATACAAAGTGATGCCTTGCTGAATTAGGAGAGACAGTAATATAGTATCAACGTGTGTCAGAAAATGACTTCCTTCAGTGATTTAAGGTAAGGTTGGGCCAGCTACTTTCCTGAGGCAGCTCCAGGGCAGTACTGGGGGTTAAAAATCAGACACATGACCTTAACAGAGTCCGCTGGAACAAAAAGATGCTAGGATAACAAAATTGAAAAGCAAAAATAAGATCATTACAATTTTTGGAAAAGATTTTTTATTCAGTGTTTAAGATTAAAAACTACAAGATTTTGCTTGCAGCTGATGAGCGCAAAGAGAAAAAAACAAATCATCATCTGATTGGCTAGTTAAAATGCTCTGACTCAGTGTTGAATTAGTGACATACCAGTTGCTTTGTGTGGGTTTCAGAGTTCTGGAGCAAAACTGCTCTACATAAAATGTATCATCTGAGAGCACAGGACTAATGGGTATACAAAAAACTGAAAGCTGATGAAGGGAGGTTGTGGAAGACCTTTTGATTCTTTTAGGTTTCTAGTAGTTGGTTACCATATGCAAGGACCTAGCAGCCAGTTATTTTATCTCTTGACTTGTCTGAGTTAAAAAATTTTGACCCACTAAACAGGAATAAAGAAACAGTTATAGATCAATTGGAAAACATAAAGCAGTCCCTCCTCTCCAGTAGAATTTTAGTTGAATTAAATCATAAGAGAAACAATGATTATTGCACATACTGTACTTGTCACACTACATCTGTTGAGTAGAATTTCCATTCCAAGTGTTGTTTTCATCTTCACCATCATCCTGAGTCCTCAATCTATAGATCTTCCCCTCCTTTTTAAAGTCTTCTCCCCGTTTCTCCAGCATTCTTTTTCTGACTGGTTCCCTGATATAACAAAAGAGGGAGAAACAAGATGACATAAAATAGCAGCAGTAATATTGGGTTGTCAGAAAAGTCATGATGTATTTCTTCTATGTTTTTCGTTGCAAAAACGCGTCATGACTTTTCCGGCAACCCAATACAAAGCTGTTTCCTTTACAATTCCATTAGTATAGGTAACTATAAGGGAAGTTCATGGGAGATAATTATATCTACTATTGCAGTACTAGACGACTTCATATGTCTTTGGCAGTTTAATTTCATCTGTTTTCTAAGCCAATGCAGCCAAAGCATATTTTCCACTTCCATGTATTTCTTGATGACTTATTAAGCTTTAGAAGAGTAGGACTGTCTGCCAACTAATCTTTCCTTTATTATTTATGCAAGCCGATGTATCGACTAAAACATTTATAACTTATACAGCACCCTACAGGCTATCCAAAGCTCCATTCATAACCTAATTTACAGACACAGTCCCAATTAGCAGTTTTTATTCCTTTTATAATCTTCAATAATTTATTTACACAATTAAGAACAAAAAAGAATTCATCTGAAAATGGGAAGGAAACAAGTGAAATTTAAAGCTAATATTCTACAGGGAGAAGAGAAAGCAAAAAGAAAAAAGAAAAACCAATATTGGAACACAAAATTTTACCTACCTTTGCCCAAACCCAAGTCCTCTTCCCTTCTTTGAAAAATTAAAAAACCCACACAACAGCAAGTTATCCTATAGTACAGTAATTCAGAATTAAATGCTTCCACCCAGTTCTCAGGAAGAGTCCTAAACGTCAGTACTAACAAGGTCTAATTTGAATGCTGTTCTAAGACTAGAGAAGAATTTCCCACTGTCCCCACTTGAGTAATGTACTAAGGATGTCTTCCTGCTTAATAAAAAAGAAATCAAGATAAAAGCTAAATCAGCCCAATCACAATTTACACGAATCTTCATTTAGAGTTACTAGGACACAAGACTAGGGATCTCCTTACTGATGGCAGACAGAGACAAGGGTTTTCATTACTTATCACTTAGGGTTAAGTGTGACGATTTGCTATAATGCCTATTAACGGCCTAAGAGTGTTTTAACAGTAGTAGGTATTATTAAGAATTGAGCTCACCTTCTAGGAAAATACTGGGTTGTTGGAAAAGTCGTGACACATTTTTGCAACGAAAAACATAAAAAAATACGTTATGACTTTTCTAACAACCCAATACTTCCTGTTAACCTGTTTCAAATATCTTAACAGAAATCTTAACAGAAGTATGAGCTAAAATCACTAGTGTTGTCTGTTAGTATTACCATTCTAACCGTGGCCATCTGAAATAAAAGTAAGGCCTCTTGGTTAGGGGACTAGTCTAAATAACTCTGAAGGCTCCATTTTCAAGTGAATATCCAGTTTCCTCAATCTGGTCCTTCTCTAAATGACCCAGAGAAGATGGTCAGCCAGCAGATCAAAGAACCATCAGGGTTAAAATTCTCTAAAGCACATTCAATCCCTCTAAAGAAATTATGCAACATGACTGTGAGAAATTAATGGAATACCTTGTCAGACAAAACACGGCTAACAAGAAAAAGATTACTATTTAGACCTGAAAAACAAATCTACTTTTATAGTTATGGGATGAAGAGAATTCAATAAACAAAATAATAAAACCAGAAGAGGTGAAGTAGCTTTCCATAGATTAAGTTTCAGAAAGATGGCTGAGAAAACTCAGGTAAGTGAGCATCCCAAGAGAGACGATATAATAACTCTTCTGAAAATTTGGTTTTTTTCCCTTATACAGAAAGAAGGCAAAGTACCTGTAACAAATTTTTTCATTCTGAATAAGGCATTGGGCATTACTAACATATTTTGCAAATGGGGAAAACACAAACAGATACCTTTTTTCTGAATTGCTAGATGATGCAAGGTTTGAGGGCTCTGAAGCTGCTGCTCTCACTGAGGTCTGTGCAGGAGGATTGCTAAATAAGAAGTTGCTAATCAGTCTCCAGATGGCAAGGAATGGGTAGAGTACTGTCCCCAACAATGCCCAAAAGTCTCCACTGGAAGAATGCACCACGGATGTAGTTGGTCTTCCTGCCTAAAAATTAAAAAATAAACCTAGATAAAGACTACATCAGCCCCATCACATCACACTCAAGGTTCTAGGTGAATCTTTTATCTAAAAAAGAAAAGTCCTATTGATTTTATTTTACTGAAAGAAGGGAAAATTACCAACTTTTGCTGTTTTACAAATGTACACAAACTTCTGGGAACTCCTGAAGCTCTGTTGTTTTTTTTTTAAAGGCGTAATCATAATATAGAACCAGAAAGTAGTTTTCAGTGAAATGAACCAATTATTTTTAAGAGAACTACACTTTTGTACTGAAATTAGTAACCTTGATAAGAAAAGTCTTTCTTGATGATTAAAAAAAGGGGGAAGTTTCAAACCTCAGTGAAAGTAATCAATCCTGATTATTGGAGGGATAACTCTTTTAGGTGTGGGGCTCTAGTTCAGAGCAGGGAAAACTATACTAACGCAGACATAGAAGACCCAGGCTCTCATCCCACCTCTAGAACTTAAGGTGGCACCTTGGCAGTCATTTAAGCTTTCTGAGCCTCTTTTTCTCATATTGTTATGAGGATCAAATGGGATTAATATGTTAACAATTAATGTTATTTTTATGTTTAAATGTTTTTTTTAAAAGTTGGTAAACAATAGAGTCATAGACAAATAAAAAACATTAAGTCTGTAGATTACTCTGCATTTCTTTTGTTCTACTGGTCATTTTTTGTACATGAATAGGTGAGAAAAAAAGTTGAAAATTAAATTATTTGTTTACTTAGTGCCTCACTAGCAATAAAAATACAAAAAGCACAGCATTATGAAACAATAAATTGATCTAACATTTCTGGATTATTTGGATTTTAATTATCCATAGTATACTTTCCACCTTCCCTTCCACTAGTTACAAGCAACAATTGAGTACAACAAACAGAACTGTAAGAATAGAAAAAATATGTATGTTAATACATACTGGCAACAGTACCACTGAAGCACTTGGGGCAAGTTCCAAATCCAATAATTTCTTTTTATAATCTTCTTTGGTAAATTCCCTCCTGGGAAACATGGTTGCTAATGAAAAATTACCGTAAGTGTTGCCAACAGTCTGTAACATAAGTTTAAAAATATTACAATGGTGCCTTTTAAAAGACATTACACACTCATATGCATCCAAAATAACTTTCATTAAAACTGCCTTAATTTTAAAAGTTCATTTAAATGTAAACGCAAAAAACATTAAAAAATTTGTGCTTCAAAAAGTGGCTGAAAGCTGTCAAATCCAAATAGTATTTAAAAGCTTTTATAACTCAAAAATAACCATAAAATAGCAAGAATATAGTACCTACCACCATATAAATAAACTGAATAAAAATAAACAATCAGATACCTCTTTTAAGTATGGCTGCAGTTTGCCATGAAAGTTTTCATTATCTTTGGCAAACTTACATTAATATTTCACAAATACACATTTGGATTATAGGCATTCCCTATTAAATATCCGCAATAGCCCAGAATTTCTCTCATATATATATAACATCAGGAATTTTTGCCTCTTTGTCTCAAAAAGTAAGTGGTCCATAATCAACCCACACCGTACATATAATCCCAGGTCCAGGAAATTACGCTGAGCAGCATCACAATCACCCTTGCAATTTTAAACCATCTGTACTTGTAAAATCTTAGACAACTATTTATCCAGAAGATTCCAAAGAAAGACACTAATACTTTTATTTTTTGTAATTTTTCACTGTTATGTCATCCACATACCTCTATTCTCACTCTAATACAAGGACATACACAAATACAAAATTAGGTCATTCTACTGAAGTGAAGTTCTAACAAAACTGATGCAATCAAAGGTTCACACACACTCCCTACCCCCATCCCGGCCCCAATGTGGCTCCCCCTCTTCACTTACCTGTAGCAAAAGCAGTAAGACTCAGGTCAGGAGTACCCCCTTATTGGGAGGCCCCAGGTGGGGCTCCAAGGCAAAAAAAAGGATGAAAGCAGCTATTTGGGTTGGTTATACTATAAAGCTTAGAGGAAAGAGTTCTCAAAGTAAGTTTTTAGGGCCGGCCGAGTGGCGCGATCGTTAAGAACTCACTTGGGATGCCAGAGGGCCCCGGTTCGGATCCCACATAGTGACACTGCCCTCCACAGCTAAGATGCTGAACAACAGCTCAACCTGGAGCTGGGCTGCTGTGAATCGCTGGCGATGGCGTAGGCTGCAGCCCCTGCTGCAGTGGGTTGCCATGGGCTACCGTGTGTAGCCAGCAGCCAGCGTGAGCGGCCAGCAGCCGCTGTGAGCGGCCGTCCAGAAGCCGGCGACTGATCTGCCTCACCCGGGAAGAGTGCTATGATGGTGCCAACTTGGGCCAGTGAAGCAACGTCCTCCACAACTAGACTGAAGAACAAAATGACAGCAACTTGTCTGTTCCCCTTCCCCCAATTCCCCAGCACTGTTCCCATCCCCCAATTCCCCAATTTAAAAAAATAGTAATAATATTTTTTATATTGTCCAGCCCAGCTCACCAGTGGAGGAAGGCAGGCAGCTTTATAGGTATACTTCTCTTGGGATGCACAGGTAAGGTAGCCAACTAAATGCAGAGAGATCTAGTGGAAAGATCTGAACTCTGATTTTACCCGTGAGACAAATACTGGTACATATAATGAGCCTAGATCCTAAAGGACATCTGCTGCCTAGAATACATTTTGGGTAAGGAATCAATCAGAAAATAAAAGCTAATTGGAAGTTACTCATAGCTTATTTTCTAAGATATCAAATTTCACACCCATTCAGAGTAAGGCCACATCATGTTGTGGAAGTGAATTCCTGAAGAAGTACTTGTTGCCAAATAAAGATTATTGATCTTTAGGCACAGACAACTGGCAGATGGTGGGAAAATGGCTAGCCCCAAAGCATTCTAAGCAACCTGCAGAGAACGTGGAGAGGACCAAGAAAAACTGCATCCTTTTTACAGGAGACAGTTCCCTCTGATTAGACCTTTGGAAAATCACTTGCTTGTCACTACTCCATTAGAGTGTACCAAGCAGTGAAGTTTCCAGAGCCTATTCCACAATATCAGCAAATTCCTATTTTTGCACAAGCAGGCATGCTGTTCCCATGTGGCCCTAATACATGACATAAGTTCGACACCCCGGAGGTGTCTTATGCCTCCCTCCTGGGGATGGGTCATGACTTAGTCACCTTCTTCAAATTCTGCTTGAAAAATCTTCCAACCAACATTTGAATAGTCTATTCATGTACCTTTATTACAATTCAAGACATAAATTTACCTGTGCAGCAAACTGCCTTGCCTCTTCTAGAGGAGCATCAGAAGGGAACTGATTTGTGAATGAAGAACCATCAGGAAGACGGAACTGAATTCTTGCAATGGTGCTATGAAAAAAAGAAAACTTAAGTCACAATTTTTACATATTCACAAACAATATCAAAAGTTAGAGAAAATTAAAGTGAAAATATGCAATGAAAATAGTTTTCACAATGTCAGATCTTTTCATTTATAGTGTTTAAGAATAGCTTTATCGAGATATAATTCAAATAACATAAAATTTACCCTTTTAAAGCATACAATGAAGTGGTTTTTAATAGAGTTGTGTAATCATCACCACTATCTAATTCTATAACACTTTCATCATCCCAAAAAGAAACTCCAAACCCATTAGCAGGCACTCCCTATTCCTCTCTCACCTAACTGGCCATCTGTATCTGTAGGTTGGCCTACTGGAGGCATTTCATATAATGGAATCATACGATGTGTGAATTTTTGGTAACTGGCTTCTTTTGTGTACCATTATGTGTTCAGGGTTCATCCGTGTTGTAGCATATGTACTTCACCCTTTTCATTGCTAATATTCCACTGTATGGGATTATACTATGTTTTGTTTATCCATTCTTCAGTTGATGGACATTTGAATTATTACCACATTTTGGCAATGATGAAGAATGCTACTAACCAAATCCATCACTGGAACATCCAATTGCAGATCCAATGGATTCCCTCTTTTGCTTAATCCTATTTGACTTGATATTCTGACAACTAAAGAATCCTAACACACAAGATAATCACTATAGTTATTTTGATGTATGTGCTTTCTGTCTTTTGAAAGAGGTTTCTTGAGCCCTCTTTTGAAAGTCATTTATAGATACTACTCACCTTACAATGTGGTTATGCCCCAATAAACCCACTGTAAATTGAAAATATCATAAATTGAAAATGCATTTAATACACCTAACCTACCAAACATCATAGCCTAGCCTAGCCTACCTTAAATGTGCTCAGAACACTTGTTTCCCTACAGTTAGGCAAAATCATCTAATGTAATGAATGCAGAGTATCAGGTGTTTAGCCTCATGAAAGCATGCCTGACTGGGAGGTGCGGCTCGCTGCTGCTGCCCAGCACCACAAGACAGCATCATCACACCACATATCGCTAGATGAGTAAAAGATCAAAATTCAAAATTTGAAGTATGGTTTCTACTGAATGCTTATTGCTTTCACACCACTGTAAAGTAAAAAAATCCTAAGTCAAACCATCGTAAGTTGGGGACTTGTCTGTATTTACCACTGTTATATAGTAAATTCACATTCAGTAACAAATACCATTGGAGACTACCAAACTGGTCAGTATTTCCTACTGGAACTACTTATTTTAGCCACAGCACACATCAGTTTTAAAAAGCAGTCAAGGGCCAGCAGAGTGGCGCGATTGTTAAGAACTTATTTGGGACGCCAGGGGGCCCCGGTTCGCATCCCACATATGAGGGCCAGTGATGCTGCCCTCTAAAGCTAAGATGCTGAACAACAGCTCAACCTGGAGCTGGGCTGCTGTGAGTCGCCGTCCCCGGCGTAGGCTGCAGCACCTGATGCAGTGGGTTGCCATGGGCTACCGTGTGTAGCCGGCAGCCACTGTGAGCGGCCAGCAGCCTCTGTGAGCGGCCGTCCAGAAGCCGGTGACTGATCTGCCTTGCCTGGGAAGAGCGCAATGATGGTGCCAACTTGGGCCAGTGAAGCAAGGTCCTCCACAAATAGACTGAAGACCAAAACGACAGCAACTTGTCTGTTCCCTTTCCCCAATTCCCCAGCGCTGTTCCCATCCCCCAATTCCCCCCAAAAAAAATCTTAAAAAAAAAAAAAAAGCAGTCAACAACTGCTGTTGTCCTCAGCTGCCACGTACAACAGATGTTTACGTAGGAAATAAAGTACCTTCTTTCTCTTATGGAAGCATCCCTCTTCACTTCCATTTCTGCTTGTTTGGCCAGCAAGGCAGCAGCTTTAGCAGCTTCTACTTCTTCCTTTGTCTTTGCAAAACGAGCTGCTCTCTCTGCTCGATCCTTTAAAACAGATGTTAGACGCTAATTGTCTTTCACTGCTAGAATGGTCTATTTACGCATTTCCAAATACAAGGAACAAACACATACATGCATGAAATTCCTTAAAGCCGTACTCGTATATTATCTTTATCATCTAGATCTGGTATTTTTTAGTTTTATCAACTGCCAGGGACCAGAGTTGTCATTAAACAAACAAGGACTTGATTTTGGTCTCTACTGTATCTCCAGAGCTTCAAACAAGGTTTAGCACATAGTAGGTAAATACTTGTTGAATAAACAAATGAACAAACAATATGAAGGTAGGAATGGTTTTCATATGTATTACAGCTGCTCAATTCTAAAAACCATTGTTGTAAAACCATCCTACTTGATGTGTCTAAATCCTTTGAAATGTCCCCCCTCAAAATGCTTGTGACTAGAGGAGACTGACCGCTAAGTAACCAATTCTTAGCTTCTTTTCTGGGGACTCTTTGAAAACTACCATTTGACTATTGATAACATAGAGAGAAATTACTTTAAAAAAAATCATCTCAATTTTAATCTTAACTGTATTTTAATACAGTTTCTAGTAAAAGGAAGCTGAGAATTGGTACTCTTTCAATCACTACAATCTACTATTTTTGTGTGCATTGTCTGGCAATAAACCAAAACCACTATACCTGGAAAAAAATTTCACAAATGTTCTAGAGTTAAGCATTAAAGATAAACTTAATACTTACCAATGCAATCTGCTGTTTTATACGCTCTCGAGCTGCCCTATCTTCTGCCTTTTCTCTGTTTCTTTCCTCTAACATTCTTTTTGTTAATTCTTCTTCTTGCTTTCTTTTATAATCCAACATTTCTTTTCCAGTTTTTCTCCTCTCAATTTCCTTCTTAATCTCTCTCTGAATTAAAGAGAAAGTAAGTTTTATGAGCCAAAAACTTACTTTAATAATCTGTCCTAGATATTATTCTGTATGCAGGGAAAGCTAGGTGTGGGGTACAACAAAAGGAATAAAACAACCACATAAAATGTAAGGCGTCAGTAGGCTTTATTCACAGCATGGGTTAATGGTCAAATGTCTATCAATTTATAAATCTTTGCCAGTGGTTCTATTAAGATTATGATGTGCTCAATATAATTTGAAAACAAACAAAGTTACAGGTCTTTGGTTTCTAAGGTGACTATGTTACCCTCCAAAGACAACAAAGCAGTCATTTATGCGGCTTGAAGAAACAATCACCATCCTCTATTAGCACCCAAAAAAGATGAAGCAGTTTAGGTACACATGCTGAGAAAAATGAATGGTGCACTAGAATGCAGCAACTCCAGAGGAAAAATTCAGCAAAATGTCTACAAATTTCTTTTTCATAAAAAGGAACTAAAAATTTGATCTGCATCAAAGCAAAATAATTTTAGTTCAAGTCCCTTTAGTCTTAGTGTAAAACTCATTGCAGAGGGAGAAATGATGAGCCAATTTATTCCTAGAAATTTACAAAAAGAACACTATGATCCTACCACAGAAGGCAGATAATTCCCTTCAATGTGCTGCAACACTAAACTATCACCAGGAAGCCATCCTAGGTCTGCCAACTCTATCATCAATGTTCCTTCATCTAATGGAAGAGTAAAACAATGCTTAGTACACGAACTTTACCTGTTCTTCCTCTTTCCTCTTCTCTTCTCGCCTTTCTTCAAGTTTTTTGGTTAGTCTGTATTTGAAAGTTTAAATTTTTAAAAAAATACATTAACTGAGACACATCATATTAATATAAACATTTAGGACATTTATTTAGCTAAAAACAAAAGGGGAAATGTAGAAACAAACAAACAGAAAGCTCTTGAAGGAAAAATAGTCATTTATCTGCTGGCCCTTGGTCCCTAGAGAAATCCATATGAGTTAGTGGAAGTGCATCAGAAGTGTGGCTCCAGCTCTAAGTGCCTTACCTCTTACTGACCATTAGTTCCCTTCCCCCCGCAACCATATACATCTTTAAATATATAAATTAATCACTTACAAATGTCTGACCCATTACACAGAAGTGAAGAGCAATATGGTACAAAATTGTTTAAAATAAAAGCAAAGGGCCTGCTGAGTGGCGCATTGGTTAAGAGCTGGCTTGGGACGCCAGAGGGCCCCGGTTCAGATCCCACATATGAGGGTCTGTTCCCCTCCCCCAATTCCCCAGCACTGTTCCCATCCCCCCAATTCCCCAATAAAAATCTTTAAAAAATAATAATAATAAAATAAAATAAAAGCAAAAATACCTGAAGGTTAGCATTTATAAAAACAAATAATATCAAAACTGATTCCCAACTGGAAGAAATTCATCAATTAAAAACTAATGATTCTGAAAGCAGATAGTGGTGATAGTCACACAACCTTATGAATATATTAAAATCCACTGAGTTGTACACTTTGAATTTTATAGTATGTGAATTATATCTCAATTAAAAAAATAATGGTACTTTCTCTAAGAGGGATTTGGGTTACATAGGTATATTCACATGTATTTGATAAAACTCAGCTGAACAACTTGTGCCAGAAATCAAGGGGGTGCTCAAAGAATGACAGGACTTATGTCAAAAGGACAGAAGACCCAGCATGAAGGGGATTATACTAGCCAAATTTGGGGCAATTTGTGCACCAACAAGAGTCCTAAGAGAAATAAACTGTAACACATTTTGTAACATAAAAAGGACTTGTGAAACATCTTACTGCTGAGGGGAGTTATAAGTTGGTATAACCACTCTGGAAAACTGTTTGGCCAGCATCTATGACCCAGAAATTCCCACTCCTACAAATACACCCAAAAGATACATTCACCAAGACATGTACAAGAATGTTCATAGTGCTCTATTCCTAACAGGCCCAAAGTGAAAGCAATTCAAATATCTATAAACAGTAAAATGGGTAAATTGTGGTACAGTCAAATAACAGGACGCTACAGAGCAATGACAGTGCGCCTACTATTACCACTACAGATAGCAACAACAGAAGAGCCTCACAAATACAATGATGAGCAAAGGAGAGCAGACACAGGAGTACACGTGGTATGATTCTGTTATGATAGTCACAAACAGCAAAACTCATCTATGGTGTTGGATTCAAGAAGTGGTTATCTGTCAGAGGGAAGCAGTAATTAAGGCTCCCAGTGCATGAAGTATACACTGGTAAATTTCTATTTCTTGATCTGGGTGCTGGTGTCCAATAAGAAGTTAACTGAAAAAAAGGGGAAGTAGGAAAGTGGAAAGTAGGAAGAGGTGGATCAAAGCACTTTTCTACAGAAGAATGAAAGCTAGCTAATAAATGTAAAAGGAATAGAATTAGAAAAAAAATATCACCATTTTAAAGTACCAATGAAATAAATGATCCAAGCAAAAATGAATTGATGCCAAAACCACTGGTTAAAAATTTTTGAGGAATACCATATTCAGTTTCAAAGAATCACCCCATAGGTAACTTATTAATTAGGGAAAAGGGTATCTTTTTAATCAAGAAGTCCAACATACACCATCTTAACCAATGAATAAACTCAACATCACCAATAATACATACATCTGATATTAGCTGCCTCCTGATGTGAGTAATGGAATATACTCATCAAAGTTTAACTTGAATCTAGAATGATGAAACAGGGCAGATCAAGAGGCATTCTAGAAACATTCTAGCCAACTCAAAAATGTCCACGTCAGGAAAAATGAAAACAAAAACTAAAAAACAAAACGAAATGTTTTGGATTAAAAGAGACTAAACTAAATTTAATGAATGATCCTTGACTAAATCCTGAATCGGGGGAAAAAAGTTATAAAGGATATTATTAGGCTAATTGGGGCAATATGAATATAATCAAATATTAGATGTTATTGTATCAATTTATAATTTCATTAGTGTGATAATGGTATTGTAGTAAAATTTGAAAATGTCTTTATTCTTTAATTACATACCACCTACAGAACTCTCTTCAGAGAAAAAGAGATGCAATTTTGTTCTAATTTGGTTGAAAAGCCCACTTCATCTTACTCAATAACAAATCAACTGTTTCATCACATTTGTATCTGGGACTCTACCACTTACTTGTTCTTTTATTGGACTAAGGGACGGGGCAGGGCATGGGTCAGTGGGTGTAGACCCCAGGCTCCAACTGAGGCTGGAGACCCTGCTCAGAGCTGAACAAAGTCTCAACCAATGTTTTTATTAGGAGATACATGCAAATATTTAGAGTGAAATGAAATGATTCCTGCAACTTTCAAATAAATCAGCAAAAAAAGGTACTCTTTCAACTCTTTGAAGCTGAAACCTTTCCAAATAAAAGGTTGGAACTGATGGTACTACATATTATCTTTCCCTGATACATCTGCAATTTTTAAACATAATATTATAAACAAAATAATGCATTTTTACTAAAAGATGTATCTTTTCATCTGAATCACTAAAAGATTTGTATTTCACATTTTTAGCTTTAAAAATAACACACTGTAGGGCCGGCCGAGTGGCGCATTCGTTAATAGCTGGCTTGGGACGCCAGAGGGCCCCGGTTCGGATCCCACAGATGAGGGCCAGTGACACTGCCCTCCACAGCTAAGATGCTGAACAACAGCTCGACAACTTGTCTTTTCCCCTTTCCCCAATTCCCTAACGCTGTTCCCATC